GTAGAGCTAGCTTGGCGGTAGTACTACAACCACGGCAACCTGCTCCCGTTTCAGTGGAGGTGTGGTAGAGGCGACACAGCTTGTCGAATCACTCTGTGCGCCGGTGGTAGCAGACTCGTCTCCCACTGACGTTAGGGCTAATATACCAGCCCACTTCGTTTCGTATCCACAATATAAAATCGCAATGCCATGAATAGGTAATTCAAATTTTTTAAATAATAAAGTACAAAAATCAAATAATAAATCCATTGAATATCAAAATGGCGGAAAGTAAACACATGTGTGAAAGTTGTGCTAAACTAATCAGAGCGAATTCTAGTTGTATTGGTTGCTGTGACTGTAAAAATTGGTATCACAAAATGAGTAGTAAGTTAAGTGACTCGGAGTTTAATGTTCACCTAGCTGAGTTCCGGAAGGCTCAACTAGCTGGAAATGTGCTGACTGTGTTTTTGAGGTTAGCATTATAGTAGGTGACGCTGAGTTTGATGAGGACACTAATTCACACGCAATGTCCATCAACAAGAATGGTCTCGAGAAAATTCTTGCCAAATACTTATCTCCTTTTACAAAACAAATGAAGAATATTGAACAGAGTATCACAGGTATCCGTACTGACCTAAATAAATATTTTGAGCAAAACAAAAGCTTTGCCCAGCAGCAAAATAAATTTGATAAGAGATTGACAGATGTTGAAAATAAACTTACATCTCTTAAAAACTTCCCTGATGATCCTAATAGTGTTATCTCTGAAATAAAAGAGCGTAATAAGCGACAATCCCAGGTAGTGCTACTCAACGTCCCGGAATCTGTAAAACCAGTTGGCACCGACCGTCGCCAAGACGAAATTGATAAAATTGCAGCGATAATACCTCAAGAACTGTCAGACATCATCCCCAGCATCAATCTACGACGTCTTGGTAAACCTACCCAAGGTAAAACTTGTCCAGTCCTACTCTACGCACCTACTGGCACAGCTGCAAGAACAACCTGAAGTCGAAACCAACTGATAACTCAGATATCAAATTTAAGCCTAGTTTAACGTAGGCTCAGCAACTCCACTTGAATACTCCCCGTGCAGAACTAGATCAAATCACCCAAAGTGGTATTACTAATAAAACCATAAAATATATGATGGCATTGTCAATAAACCAAATTTTCGTCCATCAAGAGACAAAAATAAAAATAAAGAAAACTAAGTAAAATATTTATTACCAAAACATTAGAGGTTTAAGAACTAAACTTAAACACTTCTTAACCTCATCAGACTGCTGCAGAAGTGATATAATTTGCATAAGTGAAACTTGGTTAAATGTATCCTTCTCCTCTGGGAAAGTTATAGACAATACCTTCACGCTTTTCTGGAAGGATAGAAATAAACTAACTAGTGAGCGTAAACGCGGTGGTGGTGTGTTAATAGGAGTAAAAAAATACATCGCAACTGAACTAATCGAACATAGTGAAGATGCAATTGAGCAGTTATTTATTGAAGTAAAATGTACTAACAGCGACCTCATAGTCGGGTGCACCTATCTACCGCCTCTATCGCCACTTGATTCCTATATTAGCTATACAAATACAATATCTTTCTTAAAATATAAGTATCCTAATTGTAAGTTACTCTCGCTTGGTGATTTCAATTTGTCCAACAGTTATCCTCAAGCCAGTTGCGAAAATCTATTGTATAACGAAATATATCTGGTTAATTGTCAACAATTTAATTCAAACTACAACAGCAATAACAAAACTGTTGATCTTTGTTTTAGCGATACTAATGTTATAGTCAGCAGAGCAGACCCACTCACCAATGAAGACTATCATCATCCAGCATTCGAAATACATGCTGATATCCAAGCTAATCTCAAGAAAAATACTTCTCTCAAACTGATATTCAACAGACTATATTGGGTTGAATGAATTTTTTATGTCCAGCAACTGGATAGAATTATATCAAATTACAGCCTTGGATGATAAAGTTAACTGGTTTTACGACAAATTAAATCAGGGGTTCGAGCTATACGTACCTACTCGCTACAAAAAGTCTAATAATTTTCCCACGTGGTTTTCAAATGAATTGATTTTATAAATTAATCAAAGAAAAAAAGCAGCACACTCTAGATATAACAAAATTTAATCTCGTTATAACTACAGCGTTTTTCGCAGACTTCGAAGTGAGTGTAAAAACATTAATGAAGTGTTAAAAGTCTACTTAACTAAAACTGAACATATGATAAAATATAATTTGAAGCTTCTACAAGAACAGAAGAAAAAGTGACACTGACATCCAATCTACAGGTAACTGGAACGACGTTACTGCTGACAACGGACAGAAAGTCATCGATTTGTTTCCCTCCTTCTTCAAAAGCACTTATCTTCACGACATCAACAACAACCAGACTTCAACAAGTCCTCGTCGTACCTCAAGGCAGAACGAAAATCTTTCTGAATTAATGTATCATACGATGACGTGTACAAACAGGAAACTAGATTCTAGGAGCCGGTCCTGATAAACTGCCCAATTTGTTCTTGAGAAACTGCGCAGCTGGACACGCAGAGCCGATTGCACATCTATTAAGTGCGTCATTGGAATCAGGCATGTTTCCATCAGCATGGAAGATCTCATTTATTATTCCTATACATAAGTCCGGATACAGATGTGATGTATCCAACTACAGGCAAATTTCGATCGATCCATCACTACTAATCTCTACTTATATACTACCTACATTCTGGATGCAATGAACCATGGTCTCAGTACCCACACTATCTACACTGACTTCTCCAAAGCCTTTGACACAGTAGACCACGAGACGTTAATTAATAAACTAAATTGGTACGGAGTTAGAGGTAAAGCTTTAGACTGGATACGGTTTATCTATCAGGTAGAAGCCTACAGGTCCGGTTATATCTCAAGTGAGTATGAAGTAACGTCTGGTGTTCCACAAGGCTCTCACCTAGGACAAATTGTCTTTATTATATTTATTAATGATATTGGTGATAATTTCAGTTCTGAATATCTTATGTATGCAGACGATCTAAAAGATATGGACAGTCTCCAGCGTGATATTGATGTACTTAACAATTGGTGCAATTTAAATAAATTAAAACTAAATAAAAGTAAATGTGTTACACTTAGCCTCTATCGTTCACACTCTCAGCATCTACCAGCATACAGCCTTGGTCTACACCACCTAACAGGGGTTTCTTCTGTGAATGACCTAGGCGTGATGGTCGATATAAGCTCATCTTTATTGAGCATATAAGCAAAACAACATCAAAAGCTTTTAAAACGCTTGGATTTATACTAAGAACAGGTAGAGAGTTAAGCGATGTACATACAATTCTATACCTTTTCAACTCCCTCGTTCGTCCTACCCTGGAATACTGCAGCATCATATGATCACCTTACACCAGGGTACTAGTCGACAGGCTGGAAAAAATTCAAAGAAAATTCTGTAAACTTATTACATTCTACATGTACACCCGGGGCTCGGTGATGAGCACAGGGGATGTTTAAAAGCAATTCAACATTGTCAATCTACTTAACCGTAGACAAGCTGTTGATCTGGCATTCTTCTATAAAGTAATTAATGGATTAATAATGTCACCTAAGATTCTTGAACAATTCCAGTTTACTGCACATACTTAGATCAAGGCTAAAAAATGCTAGACTGTTAACCGCAGCCAAAACAACTAAAAGCTATGTCTACCATGGACCTATTAATAGAATTATCAACCTAGTCCATGAGCACTGCTCCAACATCAACTTCCAGGATGACTCGCTGTCTATTTTCAACTCAAAGATCAACGAATTGTTAATGAATAAATAACCACAACTCACTTATGTAATTCACTATATTACTGCTATCATCTAATGTTTCCTTATATAAGTCATCATTAAAAAAAATGTATTAACTTATTTATTTTGGGTGGGCTTTAGTTTAGCATCCCACGATTTCAGGGTTAAGAGGGGTATGGTTGGATAGAGGAGATTCTCCAGATCACGAATATTCGTGTATTTGGAGTATAATCCTCTTTTATTGTTCATTTTAATTCGCTTTCAAAATATATATTTATATTTATATATATATATTATATAATAGATATGGCAACACTTATTATCTGACAACATGGAACCCATTTGTTATTGTTCATATTACGAAAATTGTGTAAAAATTAAATGCTTATTTAAAGCAAATACTTAAATATTTAATATAAAATAAATATGTAGAAACATTGTAGTGAAGTGTTAGTGTGTAATAAGTGCATAATATAAAAGAAAATATAACCATAAATCGAGAAATTGTAAAATGAAATTTGTGAAATTTTCAACTTAAAATGCAAATATCTCGAAAACTATAAGTTTCCGGCGGCAATAATTATATATATTCGAGATCTGGAGAATCTCCTCTATCCAACCATACCCCTCTTAACCCTGAAATCGTGGGATGCTAAACTAAAGTTTTTCCTTTATTTTTGTCACTATTATATTGCAATAATTATCTAAATATATTTATAGGCGGACTCAGCAATTACTATGTTAAACATTATTTACCCATCTTTATGTATATAGCCGATCGACGTTTGTTATTGACATAAATAAATAAATAAAATAAATAAATTTAGATGCTTAATCAAACTATTGTAGTCGTACTGTTATTATATTTCAGCTGCTTCGCACATTTATTACACTGGACAATAAATCAACTATTTACTTTTTTAAAATAAATCCAAACGGCGCTAGGCGTCATTTTAATAAATATATTGAAAAAATAATAATATTTAGCTGTAAATATAAAAATAATAAATATTCAAAATAAATATAATTGGAAAATCTTTCACACGGTTTAACATTGTGACAAACACGGATGATAGAACAAAATCGAATCAACGATAAACTGCCAGAAGCAACTAGTTAGCGAATTCGTAGTTGCCAGAATGTTCTAGAAGCAATGTTTTGTTACAGATTTACTATATAAGAGAATCGGAATCGAGTTTTCCATCCCTAGTTAGCAATGTACATTGCCTGAGGATATGTGGCGTGAAAATCATGGTATAATACGATGGTGAAAATCCATTGCAATCAATCCAATATTGCCTATCGACATTTGTTGTAATGGAGTTTCATAGACATACAAAGTAGCATTAAATAACATTAAAAAATTGTAATTCTAAAGATAAAAGATCTTCATCTAGATACTTAAAAAACGCTGTTTTAGTAATAGTTTACTCATAACTAAAGTTAAAAATCATCATTGCGCAAATCAAAGTAGATCAGTAAAAAAATTGTGTTAACATATAATTTGTGTATGCAACTCTGCATGATTTAATGTGTTGAATAACGTTCTGTGAGATTCTGGTTTTATGGAAAACAAGAAAAAGCTATATATTATTACTATAAAAGTTCATATAAAGCGATTATATTTTGTATTTTAATACACAATACACTATGTAATAAAATCACAATTACTTAATTTCTTATTACTTTTTGTCTAACGATTAAGAGGAATAAGATTGATGTATAACAAAAGAAATACAAAACAAAACATTGCGTCAGCAATTAGTACTAATGAATAATTTAATCGACCATCGACAGAAAATTTGCCGAGAACGTAAAATTTATAAATTTATGTAGAAATTAAAACAATTTTTTTATAATCATACAAAATGTCGAAAATAGAGGAAGGAAAAGTGGAAATTAGTGGCGCAATGAATGTCCCCAAAGAGCAACAGAAACTGCAATTGGATTTTAGCAGGTACATATCATTTATAGATAAAATTATGTGAAGAATTTTAATTATGCTTTTTATATTCCTAGTTTCACGAACTTTCAAAAAATACCAAGCCCAATGGATCTCATACAGTTGACAAGAAAATATATACGCCCATGGTCTGAATTTATTAATACTTCAAATTTCAAAACAGCAGCGAGCATGCCACGTTTAACGAACAGATTTGTGCGCAATATAAGTTACTTCCAAAGCAATTACATATTTATATTTGTATTACTGATGATATACTGTCTGTAAGTTTGTTATAAAAAGAATATGCTACTAATTTTCTTAAATTCTTAATTAATTTTAAGCATCACATCGCCGTTATTACTACTAATTTTGGGTGCTGTGGCATACGGATGCCATAAAATTAAGAAAGCTCAAATACCTATCTCTATTTTTGGACAGCAGCTTGGAACTAATCATCAAATAATGGTTATTAATGTTGCCTCTGTGCCAATTTTGTACTTGGCAGGTGCGGGTGCCGTATTGTTTTGGACATTAGGTAAGTTTCTCCTCTCGCACATTAAGAAAGTACCAATGTAATTATTTTTTAATAGGCGCATCTTGTTTCGTTATCTCATTGCATGCTGTATTCTACAATATTGATGCAATTGTAACTGAAGAAAATGAAGGATTTCTTTCAGAGGTTGTGTAAAAAAATGTCGACATTCTTCTTCTTATACCAAATTCACCCATAAACCGTTAAAAATTAATAAATACGAATTTTTATACATAAGTACTAGTTTTGAACTTGTTATAAAATATGTAAACCTTAAATTTCAACCAAATAATGTTTACATCATTTTTGTGATCGTTTCTTTATTTAGTTTTCCTCAAATAAAAATTACAGCAAATTACATATCATATGCGAAAAACATGAATAAAACGGAGCGTATACAATACACCCTCCGTTGTGCTCATATACCTGTAGTTTCAAATTACGTGTAGATTTTAGGTGGAAGTATTGCTTGATAAGGTTGATGGTGGCTTTCCCAATCTTTGTGCGTGTATACGTCGTAAAAGACGGTTGCCGCAAATAAATGTAAATACTGCGATGGGAATAAGCAAACGTAGAGTTTGGAACATATTCAAATTTACCCAAAATACCGCAAATAGTGCAAGTATACCACCAAATCCTGAATGAAATCCTAACGTGATGGGCTCAAAAGTAAAATTGGACAAGTTCGTGCCCAACTTTCCCCAAAAAATTAGTAATAATACCAGCGGAGTTAAGCACAAACCGGTAAAAACATCAGAAACAAAACGCGGAGGTCGTTTTTCAGGCGGACGGAACATATGCTCTATCTCTGGAAGTGTATTACGGATTGGCAGATTCATTGATACATCTAAAAAAACACTGGCAATATATAAACAAGAATTTACATATAATTTTTCTTATTACCTGTTTCTTGGGGAAATTTCAATTCAACGTTCGCCACATGCCAATTAAACGAGTTGGAAATTGACGAATCACCGATAATTAAATGAAGTTCATAATTTCCCGATTTGTATCTAAAATCAGCTCCGTGTAATCCCACGTCCATATCAAATTTGTAAGCTTTATTACTATCTTGTTCGGCGACGAAAATTATTTCTTCTTGCGTTTTCACATTAAACATAAGAACGAAGGCTTGATGAACTGTTATTACCTACAATAAAATTTTTATATTAAATCCATCTAAATTAATATACATACTACCTTGGTTGTGCTTTCATCAGTGAGAACTGTTTTAAGTAGTATTTTTTGAGTACTATCGGCCTTTAAAGTTCCAGGTAAAGTTTGAGGATACGTAACACTTTGCTTCTTAACAGACGAACTTGTGTCGGCTTCCGCCACACCAATTTCCAGAGAGTGAACTTTTACACGACCCAGAATTTTGAAAAACATTGTTTGTGTGAACGTATTGTCTGCATTGATATCTACCAAATATATACCGCGAGTTGGTTTATAGCTAGAGAGTTGTGCTGCAAATATACTTTTGTCTGATGATTTTGGTATTAATTGAACTTTTTCAGCAAGAACACTGTTATCTTTTTTTAAAAGTATTTTTCCATATATATTTTGTGGTGGAGGAATTATAGGATTTCCCAATAAATCAACAACGCCCACATTCAATACCGGGTCATCAGAATGTAACTGTCCATTTCCAATCAGTTGAATACAGACTGGGGTACTTTTCCCAGCACTATTTAATGTTTGCAGTGCTTCAATTAGGACATGGGCACCTTTAGCTGATTGTACGGAACGGCGATTAAGGAAATAGTTAGCAAATTTTACTGCTTGTTCTGAATCAAGTGGTATTGTTTTTTTGAAAATATTTGTCACTCGGATTATTCCCGTCACAACCAAGGCTGTTATACTAAGGCCTCCCTCAAATTGTAACATCTTTCCGTCAACTTCATCCGCTTGGACAATTGCATCTTCAACACGATCTGCCACAAACGCTGCACCACCACCCAATTCGCTGGCAACATGAAATGCATACCCAAGACTAACTATAGAATCGTCTTTCTTCAACAACTCTTGAAGTATTTTTAAAAATTTTGAGGAATTTTGTTCTTCAATTTGTACCCCCAAAAGCTTATGGCTGACAACTCTGTAAAAAATCTCTTGGGAAGAACTAGGAGTCGACTTAAAGGATGAATAAACTTTCCCTAAAAATTCTTCAGGCAATTTTTCTTTGCATAGCAGATTCTTACTGGATCCAATTAGATAAAAATCTTTTTCATAAGCCTATAATAAAATATATACAAATGAAATAATGATAAAAGATATAATTCATTTCTTACATTTAATTTAGACTCTTCATAAAGTGTTTGCAGCTTGGAACATAAATCCGCTGATTCTTTTATATCCAAATCCTTAAGATTTAAGGAAGAGTAGTAAACCGCCTGCAAGTCATTTAATTTTAAGCCATCAGTAAATACTCGTTGCAAACGGTTAAGGTCTTTTTGTCCTAGATAATCTTGTACAGTACGCGCTCCCATTGTTGACGCACTCAAAGACAACGCTAACGCAGAGTATACTAGTACTAAAAAGAATATAATTATTTACTTTTTTGAAAATTTGAGTCTAATTTATATAGATATGCTGCCGGTAAACGAGTTCTCAGCAAGTAGTAAAGAGGAAGTCACTCGTGAAAGTTCTCAACCGGCATTTTCTGATACAAATCCAGTAATATATCAAAGCTTTCTTTACCTGTATTTTTATTTAATATAGCTTACCTAAATTGTACATTATGAAACACTTTCTTAACAAATCAAATTATTTGTTAATTATTTAGTTTTACCAAACGAACTTTAAAGAAAACCTAATTATCTGGCTTCGGTCACTGAAGAAATTTGACAGACACGTCAACGTGAATTTTTACTTTGAAGTTACGTTGGTGCGAGAACAACAACTAGTGAGTCGCATTCATGATCAGTTGTCTCTTATATTATATTTATAATTACTAGTTCGTACGGTTGCCACATCAAATTAATAAATAACACAAATTTAACAAAAAAAAAGGTATATAACAAGTATCAGAAAACTTATAATATACGTTCTCTGCAAATACAATTCCTATTGCGATTCTGAAATCTCAAAATGCTTATACCATATTTCGACTGACACATTTTCACAAGATTTAGGCTGTTGAGTAGATTATCTCATTAATTTACTGGACTTAGCAAGATTTCGCGATGCAAAAATGGAACTTGTTAATCATGTGGTGATTTGAATCTTATTGTGAATGCGTGGTAAAACAGTTCATAAAACATGCATTGTGAACACGCAAAACTGTGTAAACGTCATGAGCTATTTACGTGTATGTTCAGACGGGGATTCTTTTCGTCGCCAAAAAAACTGACGCGATTCACTAACCAAAATTTGTTCAGTCGATCCAACAGAAATGTTGAGAACCTCTGCTATCTCTCTGATGTCAGCACGATGATTTTCAGCTCCTCAAAACTCTTCTGTAACATTTTCAACGAACACGTAGCCGCGATGCCCTTGGAACAAAAAATTTCAAAATGTCTATCGAAATCCCGGACCAGTCCGAGATAAATTTCTACACCGTTCCCACTACACGAAGGACTGTTAACTCGGTAGCATCCTTTGAAAATACTTCACGAATTTTTTTTTGCAACAACAATTTTATTTGTCCACATAGTATGTACATATTAAACTCTTTAAGCAAAAATAATTTAGAGTTTGTTTAAATCAGTAGTCGGGTTATCATAGAAAATCTATATTTCATATTTTAACCAGCTTCATTGATTAAGTTCAGGTAAAAATGATAATAAAGGTTTGTAATTAAAACGTGTACAATTTTTCAGTTTTTAATTTTGTAATTGGGAAAGACATATTGTGCCCATCTGAACATAAGCGTTAGTATACAAGTATATACTAATACATTAATTAAAAATATAGTTTATCTCTGGTCTCACATTATCCGAACTGTTCAGCTTGTTCTTGCACCGGGCGTGTTATAATGTAACGCTTTTTAAAATCTCTAGTTATATCACCATTGTTATTCCACAAGGTTATCGCACTAGTGCTGTACAACGGGTAAATATTAATCAAACGCTCCTTTTTAGCCATATCTTCCTTTGGTACCTTTTTACAATATTCATCAAAATATTCTGTATTTGCTTTGTCCGGCCTTACATTAACCAAACGGTCATTGTAGCGAATATATTCGTTGTACAGCTCTTGCCAAAGGAACTGTTCATAGCAACGAGCTCGTGTAGCTGGAAGCAATAATGAAAAATAAGGTAAATTTCAAAATATTTCCGTCTTTTTAACTTGCTTGTTGGCTGTTTCAATTTGGGTGGTTTAAATTTATCTTTCATCTCACTGTATTGTTCCTTCGAACACATTTTACCGACTTATTCCTTTATTCCAATAATAAATAAGAGTACCAATAAACGTCTAGATACTTAAATAAATTGCTTCGAGAAAAATGTGTATACATATGTACATTATCAAAAAAAAATCATGATAGAAAACAAAATAATTGAGTTGCTATGATATACATATGTATGTATGTATGTACATAAGTACGTGTACATATCATGATTGAACTATTAGAGGTTTGAACAGCTATCTCACTCGTTTTTGACAACCCATCTGCGTTAGCAAATTTTCGAAATCTAAGCAGATTTTTTTTATTGTGTCGATATATGTACATATGTATGTACTTACAAGCCCCTGAAGTACGATAAAAATTTCAACTGTATTCAGGGTCGTCGAGAGAAAAGGCGGGTATAGGGTAAAAAGGTGGGGGCGCGCTCCCCTCAGGAATGTATCTAATATTTTATACATTTTTTAACTACTATCTTTACACGCGGCTTCGCTCGCATTGAATCCCTTAATTAAATACCAAACATGCTTAACAAACACAAATAACTGAATTCATAGCATGGTATGTACACAAATACGACACATATCATATTTGTGATTGTGGTGGTAATCAGAAAAACCCCAATTTTATCTGATTTATAAAAATATAAGGAAGATGTTTTTGATGAATTTTTTTAAAATAAATTTTCAAATTTTTCGACAATCATATCAAAATCCGTAAAATGTATGTATTTTATTTAAACTAAGTATCCCATGTATTTTCTTATACCGTTAGGAATTTGTGTATAAAGCCTCAAGATGATCGGTTAAGTGGTTTTGGCGTGAATGCGTAACAAGCATACTTATGAAATTTGCTTTCTTGTTGATGTTAGATGGAACAAATTTATTTTGTTTGTACGATTTTGAAAATCAATAATGTATAGATCAGTTCATACATTTAAATATCGATCTAATTAATGAAAAAACGGTTATTTTGAAATCTGTTGACTATCGTGATTAATTTTTTGAACATGCGGTTTAAAATCCTCCGGGGCGGCAGCGAATGCGTCAATAATAGTCTGGAAATCCAACTTCTTGGCTAATTTTTGCTAAAATTTGCATCGTAAACTCATCTGAGCTGGCAATACTGTATAATATTTCTCTGTTTTTTCCAGTTTTTATTTGTTAAAAAATGGAAATATTCAATTCAAGATAAATACACAAACATTTTTTTTGATGGAAGTGTTCTCCTTGTTTTTTTCGAATAAGCTCCCACGTTGTTTTTAAATTTATCTAAATGAGAATGTAACATGAGCATCTTTGGAGACATTCTACAACCGATAGTGAAAAAATTCATAATCATGTCAGTCATCAGCTTGACATAATTGTCAGCTCTATGGTTTCCAATGAAACCATGTACTACAGCATTAAAACTGTTCCAGGCTCTGTTTGCTCTTTGTTCACTTTGGTACCAGCCTAAAATAAAACGTAACATATTATAACCTAATTAATGTTATCAAAATAGTTAATAATTATTAAAAAAAAGGAAATAAGCTCACCATCCCATATATATCTTCAAGAGTTACATGACATATGTGGAGCCTATTTTTTGTCCTGATTTTTAACAGGTAGATTGAAGCTTGATATGCGCACAAATCTTTAAATCACTATGTATCTACCTTACTCTTGCCTTTCTTTTGACGGCAACAGCCCGAAAATCAAAAATGGCCAAATCGCTATAATTTCTTGAAAAGTAAATATTTTCGATTTGTAATCGTCCTTGCCCATATATAATTACTTATATAACCCGAATATAAATATTAACTAAACCAATGCTCAAACAAATTTTTTTTGTTGACCTGTGTTATAAATTGAATTACTATCCTGTCAAAGTTTGTGTTTAAAGTTCAATATATACACTACACCCACTTTAAATTAAATTAACGTTAGTTATTTATCTCATTAAAATAAGAGTGCTGAATTTATTTTGTTACACACCTTCATGCAACCATAGCACACACATTTAAGGAAAAAGGGCTAATTGGTCAAAATTATATTATTTACCCACTAACATAGAAGAACATTATGTATTTAAAAAATGTGATTTTTGAAAAATGTATGCAATTTTTATCTATATTGTACTATTAAAACTGTAAATAAGTCACCGAATTATTTCCTGGGGGTGTCATTTAATTTATAAAGAAAATTAAGTGGGCTTACGGAGTGAAATAACAAAAACAATTTTTAGGGTATTGTACTTATATACATATAATGTAATTGCCGTTTGAATAACCCCATGAGGTAGATAATATCTTGGAAGTCTTAAAAAGAGTTTATTATATTCATATGTAGGTGTTGCACGGTTGGAATTAATAATTACTATATAATTTCATTGAGCGTAATAACATAAACATCTTTATTACACATATATGTAAATCCTAAAAATAAGTTTACCAGAGAGGAAAAATAAATAATAATTTTTACAAATCATGGTCGAAACAAGACTGCCAAAACGAGAGCATAAGCAACTGACACCTTTTTCTTTTTTATATTATGTTTGTGTACAATAATAATATACTATTTTCAGATTTTTTGTGAATCCATAAATCATTTAATTGAAACTTTTCTCAACTTTATGTTTTTTAAGACACTTATATTTCATAAAAGTTGTTGTTATTAAACAATGTTTATGATTCATACCACGAATTTTTCGTCCAGGGAGACTGCTTATGAGGTTCATTCAACACGACAAAGGAGTTATCGCCAGTTGCCTGATCAGAAACAGAAGGCCTGAAATACGCTGAATTACGAAGTACGGAAGCACGTCTACCAAATTTTGGGGCATTTTTCGTTTCACAAGCGACCACGCTTTCCGAACCTGCTCCTTGTTGACGCTCAGTGGAATTTTGTCGATTACACGAAATACGTCCCTTCTGCTTACCAGTCATATCCGTCGAAAGAAGAGAGCTTTTTCGTTCTGTCATAATCGATGCAAATTTGGTTTTAGATTCACGACCCACTTCAAAATCACCACTCTTTTCCTCGTTTAGATTCCTTATGGGCGTCCGTTCACGCATCTGATACTGATAGTTGGCACGACGATATTCCGGTGTTATGATGATATCTGAGGGCGGGTTTTCATTGTTTGGGTGTACATTTGTTGAACATGATTCTAATTTTGGACGTATTGGCTGTTTGTGATTTTTCATAGTTGTCCCTTTTAATGTATTTGATGAGTTTGACAAGCGTAATGTGGAAGCTGGTTTTCGAATAACGGGGCGTGAACGAGGGAAATCCAAAAAAGTGTTTCTATATTCAGGATTAAATTCAATTTTACCTTTAAGTCGTAAAAATGGTTCACGGCACTTGCTACGTTCAGGCATCTGCTTGACCTGAGGATCTCGGAAGCTTTCATAATATTCTGGTAGATCTTTTGAACATTGACCACATAGATTTATATGATTTTCGATTTTAAGTAATTTTTCCTTTGATACAATTTCTGTTGGATCTGTTAAATTCGCGCGATTTTCTGGAATTTTTAAAATCGCATTTTTTCCGACATCAACTTCTTGAGCACCAGGCGTTCGCAAATTATCGACTTTTTTAATGGGTGCGCTCTTTAAGTAGGTTTCGTAGATTTTAAAACTGTCTTTATATTCGGGCACACCATCAAATTCACCTTGTATTTTCAGGTGACTTATTTGTGGAATTGAGCATGCCTTTTCAATAGGGAATCGCACGAACTGTTGCTTATATTCAGATGGGACAGTGTTATATTTCGTTTCAACGCAAATTTGTTGTAGACAGTATTTACCAGTAATTTTATCAGCTTTAAGTTTCTTACTGATATTGTTCTTTTTCTCTTTTGGATGAGGGTTCTCATCCGTAGGGTCGGAAAAGAGACGAAAAGCTTCTCGAGGTAAAATTTTTGAGGTGCGGTTAACCATTGGATAAGAAATATAAGATGAACGATATTCTGGTTCCATATTAATAATTCCATTCATACACAAATTTTCTGCCTTTTTAATAACGCTGCCACGGGACCTTAAAAATAAGTGAAATACGTACAAATATCTTTTACACATAAGATTCATAAGGAATATTGCAGAAGTAGGTAAATTCACAGAGTCCGTCTGTTGTTAATTATTTAACCATTGTTGCTAAATTGCTATTCGTTATCTACCTACTTAGTGGTAGCCTATAGACAGGTGAAACTCATCTTCCTAAATAACATAATTTAACAATACCAATGCACATAGATGCTCAGTGGATTTTTATCGAACATGCATTCTACCACCTACTTATTCTTATGGGTACTAAAAAATTAATTACAGTTGTTAAGAGTCCGATATACACTATGCGCTGAACCATACGCCATCCATGTTTAAGAGCTTTAAAGTACAGTTTATCTCATCTCTCTCTGACCGTTTAACCTCAACCCCTGTGAGTCACCCGTAATCGTCTCCAATCAGACGAATCTTTATGATTAGTATAATAATATTTGTATTGTTATACGTAGAAACCCAATTAAGTCGATGTTTTCAGTCATATCATTATCAATAATAGGACTAACATACATATATTTTTGGATACATATGTGTGTATATAAAATCTTTGACCACCGTATTGTTAACTGAAAAAATTCTACATTTGAATTTGTTCGTTGTACTTTGGTTCTAAGAGGTCTACAGTACAAGTATATTTGGTTTACATTTGCTAAAAGAAATAATCATGTCCTTTTGTGTGCCTGCGACAGTTGGTAAACTTTTTAATAGGTTAATTCAATTATACACCTTCCTTATTAACACATACAATCATTCTCTTATGCAAATTTAAATTTTTTAAATTGATGACAAAATAAATAGTGAATCACTACCGTTTTACTATCGATAATTCTTTCATTCCTACTCACAATTTGTAGTCTTCAAGTGTATATGGTTTGAATTGCTCCTGATGTTCAGATTTCTTTTGCATCAATCCTTCTAAATGTAAAGATGTAGATTGTCTTAAAATACTTGGCTTCAAATTAAAATATCGCCTTTTGAATTGCCAACTGTATTCGGTTTCAAAGGATTTAAATGGAAGCCCTGATTCATCACTTTTTTGTGGGTATATATTGCTTTTAGTGTGGAAGCCTGAATATGGAGAATATTGATATCAATGTATACTTGTAGTTAAGCAAATATTGTAATATTATTTAAAATAGATTTAAAGTAATCCGACAGATTTTACTCTGTTTCATACTTAAAAATACAACATACTTATTATTAAAACTTCTGTTTTATTATATAAAATTTCAGTAAATTGTATTTACCCGGTAGATACTTCTTTCTTTTGAAAATATTTAAATCGTCTATGGAAATATACTCATGTGGATGTTTGACGCAAAATCGACTGGGGAGCCTATATGGATCTATTAAAAAACGGTATGTAGTGTTGTATACTTTGTAAAAATAAACAGATTTTTATTTTATTACCTGTTAAATCCGATTCAGAAAATGAACGTTTCTTATCGTTGTTATTACTGCAAGTAAATAAAATTTGGTTGTTTAGTAACCGCTTCGGAATATGATATCTTTTATTTAGCTATATAAAAATGTATGTACATGTTTAAGTAAGCGACTATCGCTTTCTATTTTCCCATAAATATTAAAACATAAAATTTTATTAATGACCAAAAACTTCTAATATGTTAGAATATATGAAAGCAAACATAATAGTATTCACACCAATTTTCATGGATTCATAAAGAGGTAAAATATTCAAGTTAAACTCGAAGTGGCGAACGAAAAGTTTGCTGTTTTCTATAAGATCTTTGCAAATATTCTTGAAGAAGTATTGAATTGATGGAGTTTATCAATATAAAATGAAACAATTAAATCCAGTAAACACAGGCTATACTTTTACAGGTAATAATGGTATGTAACACATAAAATATAATATACTCTATTATATAATGTATATGTCTAGAGGATATGTTATATTATATATTATCCTCATTTGCATTTGTAATTTAAAAGTATAAATTTTCATCGACAATTGATTGCGCTTAGTGAAAAAAAGAAAAAAGATCAATTGAAAACAATTTTATATAAAGCACTTGTTTTGAAGGTTCATATACATCAATAAATATTAAAATTAGGTGGCACGTTTTTTCCGGAGTAAAATGTTGCACACTGTGTCCGGTTTGATCCAACTCAATTATGTTAAAATTAAAACAATTTACAATAAAAAAATATATATTTTTAAACATAAGTATATGTTCAAAATTCCAAAAATAAACAAGAAAAAACGTTAACTTCGGTTACACCCTTTACAAATACAAGAGAATCCTTACAAGAACTTGATTTCGATCGGTTAGTTTGTATGGCAGCTATATGCTATAGTGGTCCGATCTGAACAATTTCTTCGGAGATAGCCTATACCAAATTTCGCGAAGATATCTCGTCAAATTAAAAAATTGTCTATGTAAGCGCTTGATTCCGATCGTTCAGTTTGTATGGCAGCTATATGCTAAAGTGGTTCGATATCAGCGGTTCCCACAAATGAATAACTGAAGGACTAGTTCGCGTATATACAGACAGACGGGCATAGCTAAATCGACTCAGCTCATCACGCTGATCAGAAGTTTCCTTCTGGGAGTTACATACATCGTGGCAAACTTAATATACTCTATTCAGGGTATAAATAAAATAATAATAATAATAATTGTGAGTGAAATGCCAAATTGAAAATTGTTTCTTTTTTCCATTGACAAATATTTGTACCAATTATTATCAAAATTAAACCTCAAGTACAATCTCTGTATTGAATAGTTTATTATAATAGTATTTAATGTACGATGTGAGTTCAAAAAATCACGGGAATAGTCCGTATTCAATATTATGCACTTATGCCAGCGCTTCTTCCAATCGTCGAAACCAACTTCCCAAACTCGATTGTTCGGATAGCCTTCAGTTCACGTCATCTATGCTTGTAAAACGACGACCCTTCAAGGTTCTCTTTAGTTTTGGAAACAGGAAAACGTTACACGGGGCCATGTCTGGCGAATATGGAGGCTGGGGCATCGTTACAGTATTGTTTTCGGCCAAGAATTCAACAAACGAAAATCGCAAAGCTCATAAAAACCGCAATGAATACAGCTGAAAATTGTATCATACTTTAGGTGCATGTATATCAATATAATAAAAAAATTTGACAGTTGGGCTCTCCAAACTCGCGAAATTTAAAATTTTAAATTCCCGTTATTTTCTTAACGTACCTCGTATACCATAACCGCATCAATGCCATATTTGCTAGTACATATACACATATTTGAATGAAGTACATTTGAATTACCAATCCAAGTCCAATTAATACCGCGGATACCTCGGAGGTGCCTTTCGTTAGTAGATTTAGATTTGATTTGGATTTCTTACCTTGGTAAATTCTATTGTTACCTGGAACCATCTCACATTGTCTCTGGAAAATTTGACATATTTCACCATAAACTCAATAAATTTTTTTTAATGTGCTTACTATATCGCCCAATGGTGCAAGTCACCTCTCCTAAGCATCTTCGACTTAGAGCTAAATCTTTCACACGACTCTACCCGTTAAAAACTGGTATACCCTAATAAAATATACCATGCCTAAGAACACCACTCACAATCACATCATACTCGATCACACCCCACATGATGTCATCGCAAAAAAGGATTGGATCTTCGCTTCTAAACATCTTTCGAAACAACAACGACCCTACATGCCACGTTCAATTCGATCAGATAGCGGTCCTGCGCTGCACATTCGTTCCGGATATGTAAAAATGCATATTCAGTACAGTAGTGTGTGAAATATTAACATTTAATTAACGTGTAAATTATAATGTGATATAATATTGTACTAAAAATTTATGAACTCTTTTCAGCCAAATTTTTAACAAAATTACTTAAAAATACTGTGTTTAATACAATGTTAATTCGATTTGAGTGCTCTCAGACAAACTTATGTACTATATGGTATCCGTCAATACTTGAGATATATATAATTTGCTGGTGTTGTACTTTAAAAGCTCCTATTCGGTAACAAAAATGCGTCACCGGCTCCTAACTGGTATTGAACATCGTGAAAATGATATTTAATAATTATAAGTTAAATAATAATACCAATCCAAATTTTAATATTTTGATATCGGTCATATCTGCCATGAGAATAGGAGACAATTAATTATATATATAATACAAGTATGATAAAATTTTGATAATTTACTCATTTAGAAAGATAGAGTACCAATTATGATGAATAAGGTAATTGTTAATTAGGGCATATTTAATCCAGAATATTGACACCAAATTTTCAGTGCTACATATGTTAATTTCACTCATCTATTATTTCTTCTTCATTTTCGGGCGCGAAAGTTTCTATTATTTCCAATTCTCCCAAAAAAACGAAGACTAGAAATATTGCATATAGAATGAAGTTAAAAACACCAATGCTACGGCGAGCTGAGAAATTTGTTAATGTTGCCCATATTAACACTGATATAGTTGCTATAAATTGAAAAACGACACAATTTTCGCCCAAACTACCTTGAGGGACCTTAAATGATTCACTTTTTAATATGAAATGTACATACGCACTTAAGTAATAGAAGGTATATACTTACAAAAATAGGGGTTTCAGAGCGAAATGTTTCATATATGAAAACTCCACCAAATGAGGAAATAGAATCTGAAAAATGAAATTAGTTATAAACGAAAAACTGAAGACATTAGTATTATTACTGAAAAATGGACCACCAAAGCAAGCAGCATAGCCCATTCTCGGATACCCGTGACGTGCCAAAGCTATAGTTGATACCAAATCACCAATACTGTTTCCCCAAGCTTGTAAAGTGCATCCGAGAAATGAGTTGCTTCTATTGGTCACAATACCAATCACTCGCAATATTTCAACCGATTCACTTGCGGAATAGTAAATTATTAAAATTGAACAAACAACACCATATAACGCTGTGATCTATAGTGGTAAAGTTGTTTAAAAGGTATATTCATACAAATTAATGAAATATAAATTTTGGGAAACTAACGTGGTGATAATTAGGCGGAATGTCTGTTCGCGTTGTATATAGCATATAAATAGTGATGGGGACTGTAATCAATAATGTATAGCAATACAGCGGTATACCTAATATGAACAAATTATCAACTGTGGATTAAACAAAGGTTAGCTAACTGAATACATAGAATATTACAAGTGAGAGTTAAGTTATGGCAAGTACTTACATAATGTATATATTAGCATCATTGGTACCCAAGGAATTTGGATTGAGTTCAACAGTTTTGACCATCCATGACGTTCCTTCTCATAGTCAACGACTGGTATAAATACTTGTAAAACAAAAAGAACCGGTGCCGTAATGACAATATAAACCTTTCCTGCAATCCCACTCTCTAACCATTCTTCTTTTTGTATGGGGTTAAGAGACTCAAAAAATTGTTTCATAAGATCCTTATTGGGTTTATTCAAAATTGCATCAAAAGACATTGTTCGTGTTCTATTTACATCTATTGATAATCGTGAGGTACGATCAATAATTTCTATGCCGGCCTCCGCTCGTAATTGTTCCAATTTCGCAAGATTTGCCGCTAATATGAGTAAGTAACATATGTATGTTTAGAAAAAAACTCTCCTAATACAATGGTATCTTTACCGTCAAAATAACCTTGACGACAAAAAGTGAGTTTTATATTAAAGATATGTAGTTCTTTGTCTTAATTATTTATGGGTATTGATAATAGCACGAAATTTAGCTCATAACAGTAGTATTATAATTTTTAATAAATTTATTCTGAAATAACGAGTTGTATGAACTGTTAATAAATTGCGTGTTCGTACTCTCCCGATCTGGATTATTAACTTATCGGGAAGAGAAATACTCGTTTAATTATAAATAAAATTTATATGCATTTGTTGTATTAATCACTTCTTAGTGATCGTTAACTAGCTTTTAAAACTAAACAATAACTGCAGATTTCTTGTACTCGAAAATCCATTAAAACACCATAGTGAAAACATTAGTATTTCAATCATTACTGATCATCTTCTATTCTACTTTCGTAACCAATATAATACTTATACCTGCTAAATTTTATATGTATGTACCTATGTATATGAGGGGTTTTCAAAGAAAAAGGGGAATTTTGATTTTTCGCGGGCTGTGTACATTCGATATTTTGTTTTTGTTATAATCGAACACATATGTATGTTTATCATGTGTTTGCATTAGGAGACAATTTCGATTAGTAGTTTGCTTTTGACAACAGAAAAGGTTAGTTACGTTTTTGTGTTCTCTTCGATTTTTGACTAAATTTTGAGCAAAAGCAATGTCGCAATAGTATCTTTCAGGAGTGAATGACTTCAACAACGATCCGGGTTTGCTCAAACTGATCGTAAGTGGTGACGAAACGTGGGTATAACGTGGCGAAAAAGGCACGCAAAGTTCAATCAAATGTGAAGGTTTTGCTCACTGTATTCTCTGATTACAATGGTGTGGTGCATTATGAGTTCCCTCCAAAGGCCGTACAGTTAATAAGGAATACTACAAGGAAGTTATGCAACGTTTGCGTGAAGCAATACTGCTCAAACGAACGGAATTGTGGAAAAACTAATCGTGGATTCTGCATTACGATAATGCACCAGCTCACACTTCAATGCTTAATCGTGATTTTTTGGCCAAAAACAATACCGTAATAATGTCTCAACCATCGTATTCACCAGATTTGGCTTCCTGCGACTTTTCCTATTCACAAAACTGAAGAAACCAATGGAAGAAAAGCGTTTTGCGACAATTGATGAGATCAAGTCAGAATCGAAGAAAGAGCTGATGGCACACAAGTGTATTATAATGGCAAAATAGATATTGATGAATAAATAAGTACTGTTCAAAAAAATTCAAAATTCACCTTTTCCTTTGAACACATATTTTCCATATTTTGCCACATACGTGTTTTTGGCGACTAAAGCTCGATTAATTTTGTTATAATATTATATAAACAACTAAGGAAGGGCTAAGTTCGAGGGTAAACGAACAATTTATACTTTTACAACTTGAAAGGATCAAAGCCGGGAAACAGCTTCAAGTTTTTCCAAATCTTTATATAAAACAAGTAAGGAAGGGCTAAGCTTGGGTGTAACCGAATATTTTATACTCTTGCAACTGGATGAAAGCCGGGGAAATACTTTCAGGTGTTGGCAAAACTTTATACTAAAAAATGTTGCGAAAGAATTCAAAATTCAATTATTCGATAGGTCATAGGCCATATTTTACTTCGTGACATAAAAATTATCTTCAAATGGGAAATATTTGATATAAACTGATCCAAAGAGGCTTAATTTAATATATTGAGTTGATGTGGAAAACGACAGCGGGACAGCACAGAATTGGAATTCATTATATTAGGGGCAGGTTTAGACCAAGGTCTACACCAATTCCTTACATATTCAGCGCTAAACCACATAATTTTTAGGAAAATTTGTCCACATAGTTTCGTTATTTTGACCAACTTAAACGGTTTAAAGTCAGATCAAACGTATGGCCTTGTTGCAATAAATTTTGACAATGCTCAGGTATACTCGAGAACGTATTTTCAAGCAATTTAAAAATATATGACTTACACACCGACCGGCATACTCGGCATTTGGTTTGTTAGAATAACGAAAATCATGTAGTATATAGGAGTCGGGGTAATTCGTAGATTAATTTCACAATATTTAACATTAAACTTTGGTATATCCAACATTATTCGCTCAGGTAATTTTGTTAATATACCTTTCATATTGACCGATATATACGGTATAAAGTCAACCGGATATTTGAAAATCTGATATTAGTTATATTGGGGCAAGTTTTTACCCGATTTATTTGATATATGCGGTATAAAGTCAGTCGGAAAGTGTGAAAATATGTCTATTAGATATATGGGGGCTAAGGACAGTATTGATACGATTCAACCTTTTTCAATACAAGTATTTTTGACACACATACAATTATTAGAAAAGTATTCTCTCCGAAATTTATTTATATATGTATGTCACATTTGACTGATTTTTTCGGTAAAAAATCAGCCATAGGCACTGGAGTCCACATATTCGGTATCTGAGTTGAAGAGTTATTATTGGTTTTTGACAATTTTTAAACTTGAGATGGCATACCTCAAAGGCACTATTTGCGCAAAATTGTGTACCGATATAGTTATTGGTGCTTGATTTGTACTTGTATACCGCAAAGTTCAAGAATCACATGGAATACTTATATAAATAAAGCTCAATCGTACCATCTTATGTGTGACATTTAATGTCTCTGACATGTTCAGTTAGTGAGTTATCGCACTTTTAGTAGTAGCAAATTTTGGTGATGCAGCTTGATTGGTTTGGAAGAGATATACATTAAACCTATTGTGCGGCGGGGTCACGTCCACATCTTAAACCACAGGTACCCCTCCTTAATGTGATTCGTTGTACCAAATTACAATTTTGTATAATAATTGACGGCTTGGCAATTCATAAGTTTTCGATTATTGACATTTTGTAGTCGTGGCAGTGGGCCGATTACGCCCATCTACACTATCAAGGAACATGTGTACTAAGTTTCATTAAGATATCTTCATTTTCACTCAAGTTACAGCGTGTACGGACAGACAGTCAACCGGATTTCAACTCGTCGTGTCATCTTGATCATTTATATATTATTGGGTCGTTCACTAACTGGCACAAGGGCGAGCTGTCATTACAAAAATATTCTCCCCGAATTTCAATACAAGACCTCACTGGTTGACCGATATGTTTAGCAAAAAATTAGCCATATGCACTGGAGCCCTCATATTTTGTGTCTCTTTCAAAAGTTATAGTCCGATTTCGACAAATTTTGGTCGTAAGATGAAATAGCTTGAGGGCACTATTTGTGCAAAGTTTGATTCTGATACTGATATTCATTTGTATACTGGAAAGTGAGTTTGTTATATGGGAAGTAGGCGTGGCTGTCATCCGATTTCGCCAAATGATGAGGAGTGGGAATGGTTATTATCTGATTTTACCCATTTTCACAGCCTATGAAAAAGTGCTAAAAAGACTTCTTGTCAGTGAGTTTGGTTGAGAAAGCTTTAGCGTTTTATAAGATATATACATTTAACCATTTAAAAGACGGGATTCTGTACTAATTTACAGTTTTGTATCTTAATTAAGTGCTTAGTTCTGGCACTTTAATGGTTTTCATTCAAATACAATACCGACCTCACTTGGGTGCTAAGGAACATATATATGTAGCGAATTTCAACAAAGTATCCTAATATTTACTAAGTTATCGCTTCCACGGACAGACGGACGGACAACTGGTCACACGAATTTCAACTCGTCATCCTGATCATTTTTATATGTAATAATTTAGATATACTATACTCGAATGAACGAAAAACGATTTTCCAGGTTATTTTAAAGTTTTAATAAATTTTATATAACTGCGATCATTGCGATCAGAATGCGTGTTAAATGCTTAAAATGAAAAATATTTTGAACGAATTCTTTAAATACCCTTAGCTTTGATTCATGGTTAAGTATAAATTAAAAAATATTTCAAAAGACTTGAGAAGAAAAATTACATATGTATATCTATCATCATAAATTTGTTGGAAAACCAAAAAGTAATTATTTTAATCAATACTAGAATAATTGATCCTTATATCTGATAATTCATATTAATATTTGCATAACTCTTTTTTTTACATAATCCTATTTTCTATGAAATGTGCAGCTTCTTATGAACAACTTGTTTATCAAACTTTACTTTTTTTCCGTTTTCATGTATATGTACCTAAATATAACTAACTTACATACATGCAAACAGAAAAGGAAAATTTTTTTTATGTAAATTCGATATTTACTACAACATTGGCAAGGAAATATTACCTGTGGCGTACTTTCTGTCCTTAAGTTTTGATTGCAACACTATGAAAAGATAAATCAAATGATTGTTATGCTCGAATTTTATTAAAATATACTTACATTTAACAGTTTGTTTGAGTAAAAACAGTTCGATAAATATTACCATAAGATACAATATATACACCGACATTATCACTAAAGAAATTTGCATAGAAGAAGTTTGAAATGAGAGTTGTGGTGATATAATTTACATTTATATATTTATATAAATATATGCAAGTACAGTAGAATCTCGAAAAAGTTAACCAAAACGTTTCAAAGGTAATTGAATTTTTTATTTCAATAAATTAAAAGTTAACTTTTTAGCTGTATGTGAACACCGAAACTCGATTAACTTAGTCGAGCATTTTACTTCTTCGAGTTAACTTTTGCGAGACTGTACTTCTACTACTGTAGTTATAGAAGTGGCAAACTTTGAAATTAATTAATTTGGTTATATCCTAATTCTGGTTTGTTGGACTTTTACTTACATACAGACTCAGTGCGTGTGACAACTCCATCCGATACGCAACAGTAATCAACGTATATGATTCCGAAACTTAAAAAACACGCATCTCTTAAAACATTATGCCATTGTATTTCAAAGGGATAAAACACGAAAATCAGGCCTGCAACTAGAAGTACCACATATACACCAGCTCCAAACAAATCTGGGAACATAGGACCAGCCCCGTCTAAATTTGAGAATGTGCCAATCAGATCGGGTGATCCATTGCCAAACGCTAGTAATGTAACACCAGCTAAATTTTCATTAAGGCCCAACATTTTTGATACGACTTTCAAAGCAGGACAAAAACTGTACAACGAAAACGTATTTATACATCAAAAATTAAGATATGTGTACATTTACTTTTTTATGGGTATGAGAAAATTGTTTTTTTTATTTATATCATGATGGAATAAACCACTGAGATGTTGGTAGTATAATGACGTTTCTAAAAATTTTATATGACTTGTCCCCACTCAGTATATGTATATGTACTACTGGACGACCGATTTAGCCATGTACTAAGTATGTCTTCTTATACAGACAGTTCCAATATACTTATAGGCGTACTTGCATGTATTTATATAAGTATGTATTATAAATATGGGAAAACTTTAGTATACCGTCCCAGGCTTTCGGGGATAAAATGGGTATGGGCGGATAGAGGAGATCCTCCAGATCAAGAATATATTTAAGTTTAAAGTTGAAAATTTCAACTAATTCAATTACGTATTTTTGCGATTAAAAATGAATTATACACTTATATTGTCCGCTTTTATATCACTTCACTAATTCGTTTTTAGATTATTTTTATATTAGATGCTGCAAAAATAGCTTTATTTCAATATTTAAATCATTCTTCAATTTTACTAATTTTGACAATAACAAAATGGTTGCAAAATGTTAAATAACCAGTGTTACTTTATCGACATCTTTTGTAATTGAACTGAAAGAAAGCCTGGGACGGTATACTAAAGCCGACCCATAAATATGTACTTATATAAGCATATACATAAATACATGCAATCATTGATCTAAGAATGGTGCACTCGAAATGTGAATAATGAACAGATTTTCGGAATTCCCTCTCCCAAAATGCTGAATGAAATAGATATAGGATTATGTATATTATATATATTAACATGAATAAAGCACTGCCATTTATACTCGGTAGCTATTGAGATTTTATATATAGGGAACTATTCCTATGATGTTTTCTCTTCATAAGTACACATAAGCTCATTAATTGTATACATATACTAATAATTTAATAAAATATTCTTGAATAATTTTATTTAAATACTATCACCTCAGTTTTATTATTCCATCATGCGTCGATAGAAGTGAAACTTCTAAGCACGATTATTGTACGTGATAACAAAAGGTCGGTATATTAAACTTACTTAAATACCTAGAAGAAACCGTCCGAGACCCTGTAAAATTTATATATATATATGGTATATGTAGATGAACAGCGTGATTAGCCGAGTCAATTTAGCAATGCCCGTCTGTCTGTATATACGCGAGCTAGTTCCTCAGTTTTTGTGATATCGATCTGAAATTTCGCACTCGTCCTTTTCTATAAATTATCTTCATGAATTTGCCATAGAATACTGTTCAGGGTAATGTAACCAACTTGTTCACATCGGATTATTATATAGCTGCCATTCAAACTGATCGATCGAAATCAAGATGAAGATCGTTTTTTCTTATAAGGTAACCCTAACATGGCTAGAAAGAACCAGCAAAATGTATTCCGATGCTTTAAGAAATGCTCCTGTGAAGGGTATCATAGTTTTTTTTTTGTTGCTGACCGCATTGTATAAACTCGTTTTGGTTTAAGAATTAGACAGTGGTAATCAGGTAGTCAAGATTTGAGAACTGTTCTGAGATCACAATACATATGACAATCATTAAAACACTCCAAGCGAAATATTTGTTTCAGAGTAAATTTGTTGATAGTTAGTACATCAATTAAAAAGTATAAAAGACAAGTAAGGAAGACCAAGTTCGGTTGTAGCTGAACACTATATATACTCTAGTAATTTTAAAGAATCAAAGGCTAGAAAATACTTCCAAGTGTTGGCAAACGTTATATTAAAATATGTTTCATATAGTATTAATATTCGTTATTCGACAATATTGTGAATAGATCACAATTGTATTAGGTATCCTATTAACTTATATTATAGGACTATGGGAAGGTGCATACCGATATAATTAATTTTTACTACCGGATGACATGATGCTAATCAAAATCTCTCTGTCTGCGTGTTGCACATTAAATTTCAACACATTGAAGTGGAAGTAACCTTTGATATCATTCATATTATTTTCAAACGAATCAAATAGGAGATGTTAGCTTACGTCGTAAAGTGATTTCGCCTCCGAAAAACATGTATCAAAATTACTTAAATGCAATGTCAATTGTTCAGCACTTCGACAAGCCATCGCTTTTTGTTACAATGACTTGCAATCCGAATTGGCCAGAGATAGTAAGTACAAGTAATATTGCTCCTAATTAATCATGTCATTTTAGGCCTGAAATAGTTGTGCGTGTATTTGAATCGAAGTTAAAAGATTGGAGCTAGGATAATTCATAGATGGATTTCTTCCATTTTCAACCCCAAGCTATAGTATAGAAAAAATTATGCAAATTTAATTTTCTTAAAAAATCTTGCAGACTTGGTGTCCTATCTTCATATTTAAATTTAAACTTTCTGAAGTTTCTCGTTAAGCAGGCATCGCACTGATTTTATTAATTTTCGCACTGTATGAAGAAAATTTCAATAAGTTTTGTGGATATAGCTTTAATAGTTAACGAGATATGTGTATGGTATTAAGACCAAGTACCAGTACCTACCAAATTAAAGAGTTGTAGCATGATTTGCGACTTACAAGTAGTTATAACAATTTTTACACGGAAAAACGAACGCCGAAAATTAGTTCGTCTCGTCATTCTGGTCAGTTTCATCCATATATATATATATCGTTTAATTATATATATATATCGTTTAATTGTTTAGTTTTAGGTGTACAACTAGAGTATAGCTTTAATACTGTATTATACATAGTTCCTTGTGCTGAGGAAATTTCACTTGGATTGATTAAAGATATAAGTACTTAGAATTACATACATATTTTCAACTGTACATCCCAACACAATATATATTAGTATGCATATAGTCATTAGAAGAAAAGAGCATAAAATTTGTTCGGTATCATTGTGTGGTTTCAATTGGCAGTAGAGGATTTCTATATAATTTCCGAAATTGCCCATACGACTGCACGTTGTTGTTTCACGTACATAAGCGCAACGTTCATCGTACTCCAACATTTGAACCACGCTGCAACTTGGCTACAATAGTTTATTATTTAGTAAATTCTTAAACTATAATAACATATATATGTACAAATGTATATATTGTTTTTACTAAACGTACTTATATTCCATTTACTGCAAAACTTTTCACTTACAAGATTCGAGACTGAGGCAAGAAGTCCTTCTTCACGCATCGTGTATAATTTATACTAACATATATAGTAGGTTTATATTTATATAATAAAACAAATTGAAAGTTAACCGAATTCAAATAATTATAACGAAATAGAAGAATATCAAAAAATCTGAAATGAAATTGAAATAAGTGATTACTGGGGTGAAAAAGTTTACTCTGACGCTTTCCTTTTTTGTAGTTTCAAGCATAATAATACAAGTAGTATATAGAGAGTGGGTATGGTTTCATATTGTTAGATGAAATGCTCGAGAGAAACGTTTCCCACAAGCTTGGTTGATATTGCTTTAGTAGTTTGTGAGATATTTTTATTAAACTTATTAAAGGGTGAGAACATAGATGCCCTTAGTCATCCTTGGTACGAAATTTAATATTGAATTAACGTTATTTTGGTGTAATTTTCATCTATCTTCAGAGTGTCGTGGAACAGGTGTACTCAGATGTCGAGAGATGTCCCAATTTTTATCGCTTATACGGACAGACGGGCGGAGATTTGTACATATAGGATTCATATATATGTATGTATAGCTCTGTAATATGTTGCAACAGTTTAAAAGACAATACCTAAAAACATTACCAGTCGAAAAAGTATTTAAAGAAGAAATAAAAAACACATGAAGATTTAATTTTAGGTTATACTTATCATTTACATCTATTAGAGGACTAAATAAAAGGTTTGCTGAGATGACTTTTGACAGTTCAAATTAATATACTGATTAATTAAGTTTGACACATCGCTTGACATCTGTGCAATTGTATCATTAAATGAGATTCGGAGAAGGCTTTTTATATAATATTATATATTACGAAGCTCCTTGCTCTCCTGACACTTGATTTTATATACAGTTTAGTGTACCGTGAAAAATTTGTTTGAATAACCTTTTAACACAAGCACAAGTAATATTATCTTGCAATTCGTTGTAAATTAGCCATTATGATGATATTAAGCATGAGATTTATATTAAATTATAGTATCTATATCGTTGGTCATCTAATGAGAACTATTTCATTATTTTACTATTTTCATTGTTTAGAGTGCCTGCAAAGTGGACCTTGAGGGTCCAAAGCAAAGCGTAAAACTGATTTCGATCAGCCCCGATCGATTTTGGACACCCCAGAGTAAATGCGCGATTATGCGATGATTTCCATGCGTACTTTGTTATTATACTCATACATGTGCATTTTTCTTTTCACATACTTTCGACATTAAACTATAGTACGAGTATATCCAATATTATATGTGCAGTTAACTTTTCTAAGATATCTTACTCATGGATCAATATATACGGTATAAAGCCATAGGAAATATGGGTAGTATTGACCCGATTTTATCTATGTTTGACGTTACTACATATTATTTACAGAAAAATACGTTCTCTGTCTTTAATTAAGGTGCCTCATATACCATCGCCAAAATATAGTATAAGAAGTAAAGTCAACCGGAAGTTTGAAAATTCTGATATTAGTTATATGGGTGCTAGGGCAAGTCTTTACCTGATTTAATCAATTTTAGGCTCACAGATGCACCGTTATTAGATCTACATTCTCTGTAAAATATATAATATCTACATTCTCTGCCAAATATTTTGAACAGTGCTTCCCAAAAATGTAAATTCAGAGTTGTTATCTGTTGTTATCAAGTAGCTTGGCTTTTGTAGCCTTCTGCAATAGCGGTGTTAACACATTATTATACATTAGTATGTACGTTGCAGTTTTCACCGTTTTCATTACAGCTAGAGTACATAAATGTATATATATTTGTTTACATACCTCTTCTTTTCCACACGGTCATCGGATCTATTATTTTCGGATACGCCTGTCGTAAAAATTGAAATTAGTTAGCATTTTGTTTTTTGTTTTCAAGTATAAACATTTTTAAAAAGTAATCCCTTGATTTGCATATTCGATTGCACAAATCGTGAGTAAACAGCACTGGTGGCTCACTTATATAACGACGGATTATTAGATATTTGCACTTTTTATACACATATACATACATGTGCGTGTTTATATTACATTTATACAAATAACCGATATAATGATTATCTACATTATTAATAAAAAGCTCATTAATAATCCAATTAACTTTCGCTATTTCTATACTATACCAGCTTTTAAGTTGTTTTAAATAAAATTAAAAGTAGTTTATTCGTAAAAAAATATTTCTTTCGAATAGAACGTTTGTTCGAGCTCTAATATTTCAGCTACCATCTAATGCGGCACGCAAGTAAATACTAGCCTATGTATGCTATCTACACATTTTACAGCAGGGCGAATAAACTAATGTACGTATAATAGTTAGAGCTAGCATAGTGCTATATAAATACCACCCTATTTATATAAATACAGGAGCTTAGTCAGTGTGGTCTGGGATATATTTAGTTAGTGAAAGATATTTCAATTAAGTGGACAAAGCTCCAAGCACTCTATTTGTCAATCAATTCAAGGTGTTCACAACAAATACATACATACATATATGTACATATTTACCAATAACAGGGTTTGTATAATAAATTAAATATCAATAAATATAGAAAAATAAAAGAGTGAATATAGAACGAGTGAGATTTGGTTTTGAACCCTTCACTTTTGTTCGTTAGGAATTCGCTTGAGAATCATTTAATCATTTTTTTAAGCTATTTAATTAAAACATATTAATATAATAATTTATGTATATTTTGCGAGAGGAAATTTCATTAATGAATAATTAATAAAATCTGTGAATATACATATAAATGATGTTAGTTACTCATTTAAACATCTTATAAAACATTTGTTACGCCTCTAGGTCTTATGCATACCTATCTCGATGTAGTGAACGTTCAGCAATTCAAACTACGGGGTCGCAAAGGTTCTACAAATATACATTTATAGATATAGCATGTTTCAAAAATTATTTATCTGCGGAAAACTGTATAATAATATGTTGTATTCCACTGCGACGTAATAATTTGTAGTTAAGTTTCTCTTTGGTTTTAATAATTTTAAAATTTTTAGCATAATCCTTCAATATGCACTTTTGTTAAAATAATAAATGTTATAATGTAACTAGTTGGAGCAAATTTTTGTTTTGACTATTTACAATTTATATATTACTATAAATTGAAAATGTCTATCTGTATAGATTACAGGGAAGGACATAAAGAGTACTTCCAAGTTTTGAAAACGACTTACCTACCATAAAGTGTTACCAAAAAATCGATACGAAATACATATGTACATACGTATGCATCTAAAAAATTACTATACAGCGAAATATATGTATGTGATTATGTTACTATTAACTTTTATTACATTTAGTGAGAGATTGAGTCGTTAAGAGACGTCATGAAATTTACCCGACTCTTCGTCGATAGACATGGGAACTATATAGTTGGAAAATGGCGGCCACATTATTCACATTTGTATATATGTATGTACGTCTGATTAAATTATCGAATTTCTAATGTTTGAGCAGAGAATGTTAATGAATAGAGAAGGCGCAAACAGAGAATGTTAATGAATAGAGAAGGAGCAAATGTTAGCTGTACTAAAATGTAACTTACGATGAGGGAACATCGAAAACGTGCAAGTTCGAAAATAAAATTTCACCATCCTATCAATTTACGCAACGAACTACACCACTCTCTAAGCAAAATGTTCTTCGGCATATTGGCATTGGCAAATGGAAATAATAAAAACGAAAGTAATTGACTTCGGACAAGAAAATATTAATAATGAGAGAAATAATATGAAAATAGAATTAAAATCATTCAATAAAAAAGGGTTATAAAAATAAAAAAATTGTATATAAAAATATCTGATAGGCTTTGAACTTAGGCAAAATATTTGATTGCAATAATTGAGTGTGCTATATATACTATATACAAGCAGCATCACAAACGATATTCGAGCTACTTTGTCTAATCTGTGAACTCAAACAGCTGTTGTTGTTTACTTGCTTCAAATGTTCATATGTCTATATGTGAATATTCTTGAAATTGCCTCCTTCATTCGAATGTCCAAATAAATTTGCATATACATATGTACATATGTATATCCCTCAATATGTCTTTCGCAAAAAATCAAACAATCGCGCAAGTGACAAACAAACGTAGACGACCATCATTGGCCAATAATATTCAAGCGAACTCGCGGCTAATTTCATATTACAACGACAACAAATTCATTTATAAGGAACGTGCATCTGCTTCAAAGCAAAGTTCGTTCGTTCATAACTCTGCGCCGCGCTATTTTTTCTGTGAGCCTGGTCAACCACATTTGGTTTTCATATAGAATTATAAGTTTATAAAATGAATGAATGAAAGAAATAGAATTAAAACGAGAAAAATTCAATTTTACAATTTGTATCACTGAAAATCCTACCATTCCCCTTGCATTTGTATGCTGCTTACTCACTACAATGCTAAAAATCAGAAATTGAAGAATTTGTCTGATGTTCCCTTCAGAAAGGAGAATTGGCAACATGACCTATTAGCGAGTTAAAATAATATTTATATTTTTTTCATATTATGGACTATATATGGCATTAAATTATAAAATTTATATAAAATTGACATGTACATATGTATGTATATGAAATCATTAACTACTTCTATATACTCTAAGCACACTACATATAGTACTTTTATATGTTTACTTATTATTATTATTTCATAGTTTGTCGATTTAGCCCATTTTATCTAAATACGACGCTATGAAAATGCAGCCCAATCGGTAATCGCAATATTTCAAAAGAACATAACCCATCTTTCAATAGCAAACCACTGCAAAAAGGACAAACGAGACAACATAGCCGACCGTCATTGTCGTAAAATTGTCCATTGAAACAAATTTTGTCACGATTCACACAATTTGGTGTCAATATGTATGTATGTATATACATATGTATGTTTGTGGACAAAGTCGTCGTTTGGTTTTTTTCAACAACACAATGTCCGCGCGCACTCGCCGTTATTTCGTTGGCTTGCCACCATGCACATAGGCGTGTCAAGTGAGGGCTCTAATATATTAATATTAGAGATGAAACTGATAGCAGTTTGGCCGGATACCGACCGGCGAAACTTAGCCGTTTGCGGAGGCGTCGCGCGAACGATCGGGTGTACTCGGTTCGATTCGGGTCTTTTCGTAGATGAGTGAAGTTAACAATTGTACCATTCATTGTGTCGATTGCATGCAGTGCAGGCACGTGTGTGATCGTTTTTAGGTTATAATTTTATTTGTGCTCTTATTATTTGAAGTTCATACATAATTACATATATACATAAGTCTAAAAGATTTAGCCACGAGAAATGGCATCGATGAAGAAAAGATCGCCTTTATGGGAATACTTTGACATAAGCAGTGAAAATAAAAAGTTAGCTCTTTGTTTATTATGCAATGTTAATATTTCTCGTGGTGGCGAAGGGAAAAAAGCAGGTATGTATCTAATAATAATTAATCTAATTGCAATAATTTTAATACCTTTCAAGTAAAATGATATCTTGCAAGTTTCGTAACATATTCAATAATTATTGATTTCGGGGTATTTCGTTTTTGTTTTGGGGTGTTATATGTATATCTAAGTTATATATCTGTAATTCCACTGTTGTTCTGATTCCCATAACAAGTGCTTAAGTGCTACTTACTTTTGGGTCAGATCAATGTATGTGATGTTGTGGGATATTTATTTATTATTATTTATTTAAACGACTGGTAGTGGTAGCTATGAAGCTGTGTTTTTTTATTGTAATTTATGGTTTATCCATCTACGAGTATCTAGTTGTTGTTAGGCACATATTATTTTAAGTAAATATAATGTTTAATGTTATTTATAGAAGTATCTTTATGGTATACCTACTAATTTTACCTTTATTTATTTATACCATTAATTAAGTACTTTTTCTAGGTAATCATTTAAAATCAAAACATCCAGATGAATTTAGTGCTTTGAATAGTAGAAAGTAGGCTGTTGAGCCTACTACAGTTTCTTTAGCCATTGCGGGGACAAGTTCATCTTCAGTAGCAAAAACGCAATTGACTATGACAGAATCTTACGAAAGGAAATTGCTCTGGGATATAAATGATACTAAAGCGACAAAGTACCATTATTTAGTAGCTGAAACGATTGCACTCGACAACGAGCCATTCTCCATAGTGGGAAGAACCGGTTTTACCAGGCTCTTAGAACAAGCTTTACCCCGTTATAAACTGCCAAGCCGGACTTATATTGCCCAAAAAATCGTTCCTGAGATGTATGATAGAATTTACGAGAAAATCAAACGTAACATTTCGAGTGCCTTCGCTATTTCAGTGACATCTGACATATGGACTTGCTTACACAATAATGCTAGCTTTCTGAGTTTTACAGCTCATTGGATATCACCTGAGTTTAAACTAGAACACAGAGTTCTGGCAATGAAGCCTTTCTCAGGTTCAGACACAGGCGAAAATATAGCAATGGAACTCAACAATATCGCAAACCGCTGGGATATTGAGCACACTAAAATACATTTGTTCATTCATGACAGTGGTGCTAATATAGTGAAGGGTGTTCGTTTGGCTAAATACGATTCTGCGAGATTTTTTATACATAGTAACGCTTCAAAGAGCCATAAACGAGTCGCTCAAAATCCAGACTGAAGTAACAGCTACAATTGCTGCTGGAAGGCGACTTGTGACGCACTTCAATCACTCAGGTCTAGCTCAAGAATAACTGCTGAGGATCCAGAAAGAGCTTAGTTTACGCGAGCATCAGTTAGTGCAAGATGTTAGCACTAGGTGGAATTCCACTTTTTACATGATTGAGCGTTTGTTAGAACAGAAGCGGGCCATATCATTGTATATTGGTGATCACGATACGCTCATAAATTTGACAGCTCAACAGTGGAATTTGATGGAGCAGTGTATCAATTTATTAAAGCCCTTCGAGAAATTACTAAAATAAAAAGTTCTGGACTATCATGCAGTTATACCACACGTTACTGCTTTAAAAAAATACTTAGATAAAACTGAAACTGAGCAAAGAACTCCTGATTTATCACATATGCGAGCCTCGTTAAAAGCTGAGTTAGAAACTCGTTTTACCTCCATAAGTCAAGCCTCAAACTTCTTGATTGCAACTTATCTAGACCCTAGATTCAAAACAAACTACTTGGGGGTGATTGAAGCTGCAAAAGCACGCCAGGAGATTTTATTGGAATATTTGAAAATGTCTTGTGAAGAGTCTTCAAGTAGCAGTTTATGTTCAACACCGGCTAAAAAGAGTAGAGGAGAGGAAACAGAGCCAACTGTATCTTGCAAAGCTCAAAATCTACCTTTCTTCTCCTTGCAGCAGTGTGTATAGCGAAAGACTTTTTTCCCAAGCTGGGCTTATTTATTAAGAGAAACGCAACCGCCTGCTTCCTCTCAATGCGGAGAAATTAGTATTCATTCATCATAATTTGTCCTTAGTGCAGTACGAGTACTAAATGTACTAATTCAATTAATTTCCCTGTATTACATTAACTTACTATTGTGTAATTTAAAATTTAATACTTAAACTAATTATATTTATGTAATGTGATTCTTACTAAATAAAGCAAATAATTACTCAAAAATACGTTTCTTTTATCCAGCTTTTTTTTACATCATTTTTCGGACATCCGGCCGAATAGTAGCTATCCGGTATTCGGCCGGGTAGTATAATATTATGGTGGCCGAATAGGCCGGATACAGGATAGTTACCGGATATCCGTTTCATCTCTAATTAATATGTTGCTTAATTTGTATTGAAAAATACTGATGCATTTATGAATTATTTTCGTAATATAATAATATACTTAAAAATATAAATACACATAAATTCATACCTGTAATCGTTTTTAAACTAAATTCGATAAATAAATAATTATGTGGTGGTGCGCCCGAGCCCCTCCTTGCCTGCGATCGTTCAACTCGCAAAAAGCAAAAAGTGTAGACAAAAGTCATTGTTTGTGCGGGGCAAGAAGAAGCAAGCATCAGCGTACGTGTATTTAAGAATGCATGTGTGATATCACATTTGTGTAAATACGCATAATAAGGGAATATTCAATAAACCTAAACATATGAACATATTTTCCTGAAATATTTTAATTATCTCAGGAAGTAAAATATGCTATTAAAGTAATTGAATTGAGATATGCTTAGATTCCAATTAAGAAAATAAAAAATTAAATAAAATTTCAGTTCCATGAGTTTTAGGATTCGAACGTGTAGGCTCGTATTCGGATTGTGCTTAACCCCTTCCCGCTTACGACCTCAGCCACCGCAAAAGTGAAAACGTTAATATTCTCTGGTGGTACGCATTGGCGTCAGCGCCTATCACTCTTCTTTTCCTTTTCCCAGCTGCATCTATGAGCATGTAACAGAAACCAAGGAATTAGCTAGCCCCATATATGTATGTATGTACCGCAACTAATGATTTTCGTTATACTGATTGCATTTAAGCCGAGTATATCTGTCAATGTACGAGTTATTTAAATAAAATTGCGCGGATATTTTCTCGAGCGTACTTTAGTTCAAAGCTAGGTTCCAAGCTAGGTTAAATGGGGAGTGCAATCATTTGGGATGCTAAAAACATCGAATCGCTATGTACCAATGATTCTGATAATGGCTGGCTATGGGTATGATATCCATACAACTCTTATCAAGAAGTGACTTAATGCCGTTGATAGTGAGTTTAGGGATTCCTTAAGTAGCCCTGATTGCATGGTTGACTGGTAATAGTCACTTCTCTGAGTAATAAATCTACTGCTATCTTAATGACAGCAATCTTGGCTTGAAAACCGCTATAGTAATATAAATACCAATACTTAATTGAACTGCAATGCTAGACGTACCACGCCCGTACTTGCGGAAGTATTTTAACTTTTAACAAGAAAAAACGTTAACTTCAGTTGCACCGAAGCTATATTACCCTTCACAAATACAAATGCCCCTTACAAGAACTAGATTTCGAGCGTTTAATTTGTATGGTAGCTATATGATATCGTGATCTGATCTGACCAATTTCTGCGGAGAATAATTTGTTGCCTTAAGCGATAACTCGTGCCTAATTTCGTGAAGATAACTTTCATGCAAGAACTTTACTCCGATCGTTCAGTTAATATGGCAGCTATATGCTACAGTCATCCGATCTATACAATTTCTTTGGCGATTCGATTATTGCCTTAAATAATAATAATACATGCCAAATTTCGTGAAGATACCTCGTCAAATAAAAGAGTTTTTCATACAAACTCTTGATTCCGATTGTTCAGTTTGTATGGCAGCTATATGCTATAGTGGTCCGATAGCGGCCGTTCCGACAAATGAGCAGCTTCTTTGTGAGAAAAGGACAGGTGCAAAATTTTATATCGATAGCTTAAAAACTGAGGAACTAGTTTGTATTGATACAGACAGGCGGACATGGCTAAATCAACTCAGCTCATCATACTGATCATTTATGTATATATTTTCTAGGGTCTCCGACGTTTCCTTCTGGGTGTTACAAGTTTCGTGGCAAACTTAATATACCCTGTTCAGGGTATAAAAACCTGAAAGCGATGAGAGCGGTTAACAACATCAATTGTTTAACCAATGAAACATCCACATATTGTGATCTATTTAAAAATCAAAAATGATATTTGAAAAATTGTTAACATCTTCAAATTAATAAAATTTCGAAGCCTAATATTATATATTTTATATATGAATTTAAAGCTTCAATGATAAATAAGAAGATACCTCTACGATTTCCAGATTTTATAAAGATATGTATATTGCAATACAGATATCATTCTGAATTTATTTTAATTTAAATGGTTAGTTATACAACATGAATTACTTATAAATATCCAGTAATTAAGTTTTTGCCAAACTTTCCCAACGATCCGGGACTGTATAAAAATAACGATCCATTGCATCAATAAACCGTTGCTTATAACGTTCTGGTGATATAACTGTTGGTAATTTGCCCATGCCACCTAATATGCCCGTTTGTTTTACAAATGACTCAACCTTTTTATCGAAAGTAAATGTTCGTATGTAGTCTGTAATATATTATAAGATATATTTTATTGTTTTTTTGTTGTTTTTGTACTTACCGATTATTCCCAATACTAATATATTGCTATCGTGATTTAAACCTACGAGCAGCGAGTAATCCATTATTTGATTTTTTTCTAAAAATGTAGAGTCTCTATTGATAGCATCTTTGAGGACTGCTTTGCTATGTGACAAAATGTATAGTGGTTTAGACCAAGACACTGTAAAACATAATTTGTTATGTTAGTTTAATTGACATTGACGCCGCAAATTAAAGTTATATTATATATGTAAGTGTCATTGTATATTTTAATTATATATATAATACATTTATACCTGTTTGTCATAATTTTCTGACGATACAATGGGTAACTTATTAAAAATTGAGAAACCCTATTGAAAATTGGGCACTAAGCAAGTTGTTGTTGGTATAGCAATAATAAATTTTTTAAGTCTATGTGCTTTTATTATTATTTTTATTTAGTTGTAATGAGTAATTTTAGATAGTGTTTAAGTTTTCCGTTGGCTAGAGTGAAAAATTTTTATTTACAACACCAAGAACCGTTTGTTTCAATAATTGTAAAAAAGAGCAACATTTCAAAGTTTCTCCTTTCAAGAGGATTTTTCGTTGCAACAACAAAAATTTTAATATTCATATTTTATTTGGGAGGGTCGTGCTGGTGTACATTTTTAAATTAAAAAAAGTATAAATGAATAGATAATACTAATGTGACATCAAATTTAGCAGGGAGCTTGATATAATATAGGATTATAGGATAGGTTAATATAGGATAGTAAAGGTAGTAATACCCACTTTTGAATGAATGTTCACAAAGCATTTTACAAATCTGAATATAGCATACGTTGAACGTAGTATGAATGTAGTAAAAACGGGTTCATAAATTTGACTACCTAGCATTCTTTTTAGATTTTGAACTATATCGGTATAAAGCAATTAAGTATTAGGTCAAGTACAAAGACATACATTATTTTCCCAAATTTAAGTGCTATTGAATCACAAAATATGGTAAGATAAGATTTCGTACTAAAAAACATTTTCAGACAGTTTTATGATTGTTTGACTCAGTATTGTTTGAACATGCGTCAAAGAGAAAATACACCATATTTTTCGATAAAGACAAAAAAGCAAACCAATCGGCTGAAAATGTGAATAGTCTTTGCGGTCTTGATACTGTAGACAATCATGCTCAATTTTGGTTTCGTCGATTCTGTTTCAGTAATTTTGATGTCAAAGCTGCATCACGCTAGATAAAATAATGTAAATCGTCAATAATTGCGACGAGTCGGTGCAAACGATGGCCAAACCAGGATTGACTTTCAGGAACGGTTTGCTATGTATTTGGTGGGATTGACAGGGAATCATCTACTATGAGCTCCCATCTATCGACCAAAATGGGAAAGATTGATAATGGAAAGTGGGCGAGGTTAAAATTCGATACATCTCCTTATATATCTCAATTAACTCTATATAACATGTTGCGGAATTTTAAACATTTCCTTTACATGTTTGATTTTTTTTTTTCATTTCAAAATCTACAATTTGTCTTTAATTTTATATGTACGATTGGTAAATTTAAAATTTATGATTATGTTTACTTACTTTGAACTAAATTTTCATCCAATAGAACTATTTCACCTTGTTGGTCAGTGGGGTCTACCATTCGATTGCGTTCAGAACCCTTTAAGTCGAATTTATTTTTAATATCACAATCATAAAAAAGGTTCTCCATAACTAGCAATGATTTCTCCATAAATGAACTACAAAAAAAAAAATATTAGACTAGATATGACTACAAGAATAAAGAAAACTTTGGCGACAAATAATAGCTCTCTCTCTGTACAAATCTCTAAAATGAGTGGTGAGGAAATTGGGAGATTATTGGCTGTTTTTATACTCTCGCAACCTGTTGCTACAGAGTATAATAATTTTGTTCACCTAACAGTTATTTGTATCACCTAAAACTCATCGAGTTAGATATAGGGTTAAGTATATATAAATGATCAGGATGAAGAGACGAGTTAAAATCCGGGTGACTGTCTGTCCGTCCGTGCAAGCTGTAACTTTAGTAAAAATTGAGATATCTTTATGAAACTTGGTTTACATGTTTCTTGGTACCGTAAGACAGTTGGTATTGCAGATGGGCGTAATCGGGCCACTGCCACGCCCGCAAAACGCCATTGATCAAAAACCAATAAATTGCCATAACTAAGCTCTAAGGTAAATACAAAACTGATATTTGGTATACAGGATCACATTAGGAAGGGGCATCTGCAGTTTAAATTTTATTAAAAATAGGTTTAATGTGCATATCTCCTAAACCGCTTAAGCTATAATAACGAAATTCACCGAGTACGAACGTTTTTATCACCTCTATCGATAGTGTGAAAATGGGTGAAATCGGGGGACAACCCCGCCCACACCCACTATAACGGTGCTGGTTAAAACTACTAAAAGCGGAATATTACAAGCACTAAACACGCCAGAGATATTAAATGTAATCTTTGGGATGGTATGAGATGACTTTATAGGAACCGAGTTCAAAATTAGACAGTGGACAGATATTAAATTTGATCTTTGGGATGGTATGAGATGACTTTATAGGAACCGAGTTCAAAATTAGACAGTGGGCGTCCGTTCCCACGACAGTCGGGTCTACGTAACTGGAACGGACCCGGATTTATTCCGGCCAAGGACTGTCAATTCGGCAGAATTCTTCCGCTACAAGAACAACAGGTGAAAACCCATATCTTGGGATCTGCTTAACCGATTTCAACCAAATTCGGTACAAAGCATTATTCTATTATACTTCATATTTCTGTGTTATAGTGCGAAAATGGGCGAAATCGGATTACAACCACGTCTATTTCCTATATCACACCATTTTAAATTCCATCTAATTCTTTCACTTTCCACTATGCAAATCAAGCAATAATGATTGTATCGGGGTAAAACTTTGCATGAATACCTGAAGTAATTTCCCGGACTTTGATCCTTGCAAGTTGCGAGTGTATAAAATGTTCGATTACACACGAACTTAGAGCTTCCTTACTTGTTTCGCTTCGGTTTTTTGACATAATTTTTACGGTTTCCTATAAATAGATGTTTGTGGTGAAGTAATACTTGAATACCTTACTTGTGATGTTTTTAACCGTAGTTTATTGACCGAATCGATATGGTTATCCTAAAGGTTCATATGCTAATATACAAATAATTTATGAATAACTGCTTTTTTTGAATAAATATAAAATATGCTAAAATATTAAATTCAATGAAACGAGGGCAGAGGTACACTTAGACTTAGTGGGGCCATTACAATCTATAATTTAATGATACAGTTTAGAAATGGATAAAATCGGATAGTTACTATACAGCTGTTATGTTGATCTGATCTGAGATAACTATCTTATACGAGAAGCTCCGAATCTATGACTGACTTTACCCGAAAATATCAGTCAACTTGTAGCATATCTTCACAAAATGAACTGAACATAATGGTCAGGTCCGGAGTTACAATTGGTGCAGCACTTTTTTTTAGCATATACTGATTTTGTTGTTCTAGTTAACAATTTATCTGAATAAAATTGCGGGGAAATATTTTCTCAAGAGTACTTTAGTTTAATGATAAAAGTAAATAAAATCAATGCAGATCATCCTGTAGTCCAAATATATCCAATATCCATAAAGTTGGATCCAATAAAAAGGTCTGGAACAGATGTGGACTGATTTTCACAACTTTTATATGGGAGTCGCGACTTATGCCAAGATTTTCTTCGATATCTTAGTTCCAGACTATTTGTCTAATTTTTGATCTGAGTTACATATAAACCTATAGGTTTCTAATATGACACTTATCGGACTTTTCGTAGTTTTGAACATAGCCGTTATATGGGAGTGGGGGATGAGGTTTAGTCGAACATTAAAATATTATTTAACTTTTATATTTTAGTTTACGTACTCTTTTTTTTTTACGATAACTTTAAACACTCCAAAAATTTTTGCCAGCAATGTGGGCTGATTTTGCTGCTGACATTTGCTGATATACTCAAAATAATTTGGAGCGAAATTTTCAAAAATATTAATATCTCCTTTGGTCATTTCCTTCAACACAAAGCGATCATCTGAAAGAATAAAATGATTAAAACAATATATATAAATATATACTAGTAGATCCGACCACGCATTGTGGTATACATAAAATACTATTATAATAAATTATTCTATACAATGAAAATATTATTTACGAATAAAGGCGAAATCGTTATTGCCGGTATAAGAATCCAATGAATTGTATTTGAGGCTTTTAAAAGTGATTTAAGATGAATTTTCGTTTTGCATTTTACCCAAAATATAATAATAAAATAATTTTTGTTTTTTAATTTGAACCATGCGTATGTTTAGAAATATAATTTTGTTCTATTTGTGAATTATTCTAACTTTAAGCATAATTGGATTAAACCGGAGATAGTGTTCTAAATTTTACTAAAATCTGTTCAGTAGTAACGTGACATGAAATTTTTATATAAACATATGGTATGTATGTACATATATGAACATACATAGATAGATATACATACGTATGTATATACTCATTTCAATGGTATATAGATGTAAAAAACACCAAACTAATGATTAACAATAAAAAAATTTTAATCTCCAAATTATGTTGTCAATAAGGCTCATACATGATATTTTATTATACAAGTCTTCAATCAAGAAAGCCAAGATGGCTGACTGGAAAGTGTAGCGTGGAAAGCTTCCATAGGACAATGAATTCTTTAAAATATCATATTTTTTGCTCAAGATTCCATAGAAGGAACGGACTAATGCAATAATAGAATATTGATGTGAAATTTCTGACTTACCTAATGTTTTGCAGAATCGTGAACCAGATTTCCCACCTCTTGCTTCCCACTGTACACTGCTGCATAGAGAACGAGCCAAACAATTACGGCATTTCTCGATTTCTGTCTGCAAAACATTTCGATTGAGTTTGGTTGCGTCTGTTTGTGTTGGGTGATTTATATCGCTTGTGGGTTTATGCACCAATTCCATTTCAGGGCCACTGCGGCTTTGGCAAACTTTTAACTCCTCACGTTTTTTCTTCTGCTCAAGCTCTTTATATAATGATTTTTCCGTATTTGGAGGTTTTAATGTTTTTACCCGCATTAAATCGAACTCTTTTGCAAAGTAAATTTTACATGTAAATTGTGTGCCGTTGTCATGGAAAGTTAAATCTACATGTGAAGTATTCGTTTTTGACTTGCTCCGTTCTTCTTCTGTGGTATTGGTGATATTTGGAACATCTTGTATGTCACTTTCATCTTCTTTTTGTGAACTGTAAGAGTAAATTAACGACAAAGCTTGTCAATTATATGCAAAAAAAAAAAACAATATTAGTATGATTAATCTACGAAAATATATTTTACCCACTTTTCTTGTAATTTCTGTTTTAAACTGGGGCTATGGTGGCTTTGATTTGTAATATTTTCACTATCCATAGTTGGCGGATGACCTAATCCAGCACCACTGCCGTTTTCAGCGTAACTACTGTTTGCCAAATTGGCAATTGATTTTTGATAGTCACTTGACGTCAGACTATATGCGATTAGCGAACTCAAGTCCTGATCGTGTACCAGTATCGGAAATACTCCCAGTGGTAATGTATAATGTTCTTGCGACGAAAAAGGTGATTGAAGCAAATTTGCTGGTCCCGCAGAAGGCAAAAGTTGTGTCAGTATTTTCTTGATAGATTTTTTATCGGTATTCGCCGAAATCGTAAGAAGGTGCTCCTCTGACGATCTCTCGACGGCGTTATCATCTATTTGTGAATATGTATCATCACGTAGCAAGCGAGGCCTTTCTGACATTATCGGCGACGCATCTAAATATTCAGAATGCAGGTCTTCGGTACAAGCAGTAACAGAATCCGGATGCATCTGACTTGGTTGTTTGGCTACTACCTTTTGTGCCAACGCAATATCATGTACCCTTGGGCCCCATAAATCAATACTCTCGGCCAGTACTCGTTTAGACATGAGTAACGCATCGTTTACATCATGTATACTGGCTTTTGGTTCAGTGAGTAAAGCTTGTACAATTTCGATATGTTGTTTAAAAATAAAATGATCTCTGTTCAACGCTGTCTTTAGATTAAGCACAATCGCCAAAGTATCATCCTCGGTGGCAAGATCAGCAATACGCTCATGAATGCGAGTATACACTTCATGCCCCTTCATGGAAAATGTTTTAATTTCTTCCACATATTTGAAATGATCAAACTGTGGTGGTTTTAGATCTAATATCAGTGGAGGTAAACCAATATCCCATACTTCAATAGGTGTGTACTGAAATTTAGCCCCCACGCCTCGATAGGTGAAATAGTGTACATAATCACGATGGAGAGAATGCTGGCATTGATTATATTCTGTGCAGCTTGGGCTTACTGAAGGGGAATTCCTGCTGATAATTGTTCGCCTTTTATAGGAGTGTCCATGAAAACGGAGCTCCAGATACTTTGCAAAAGAAAGGCATTTTGAATTGTCGGATAGCGGTACACTCGGCGTCATCTCATTGCAAATTGTACACCAAGCGGTAAAAAAAATTCGATTAGGATCGGTTTTTATATTATCCTCACTGAGGAAAACTTGTACACATCCCATGGAATGCACGTAGCTGTAGAAGATAGTTGGATAAAATACAACTTGTCAAAATATTTTTATTTCATATCAATATACTAACCGGCGCACATGCCCCAACATTGGCAAATTGCAAAGTTTACATATCGAATTTAAACGACAACAGTAGCGTTGCAAGAATTGTCCAAGCATAATATCGTGTTGCCCATAAAATTTCATGTCTAACAAAGTTGGTGGGGCGCAAAACGAGGATGCAGACTTCGGATTGAAATAGAAACTGCAAAATAGTACCGGCAGCCTTTGATGGTTCTCCAAATCAAGCGCATCTTTAAAAACCAGTTCCTCGTTTACCTTCTGTGGAACTTGATTCACTTTTCTAAACGCTATGGATTTTAATGTTATTTGTTAAATAATTAACAAAAAATATTTGTTCATAATTACAATTTTTTTTCTTTGGATAACGCCCACCATATGACCTAAATTCTGCCAGTAAATTTTGTATATCGCGATTATCCCATGGTGTTGTGAGTTTGAGTTTTAAAAAAGGATGTGGAGATTTTAGCAGAGTTTCATTCGCATTAATTTTAATTTTTTTTTCCATACTTTCATTACGATCTAAATGCAGGCTATTCCTGTTTGACATTAATTTTGAATAAAATAACTCAGTTGGAAATAGTTTGCGTAGAGCACATTTTCGACCTTGTTCGGTTTCCAAATACGGTAATGGAAAGCTAAGAAATGGGCTGACCGAGAGTAAAGTTGAGCTGAGTGCAGTGCGAAAGCGATTATCGTAACGCGTCTCAACTGCTAATTTTACAACAGGTCGATCTTCTGGTATTTTGTTTGCGCCGACCTCCACGGAACGAAGTGGATCAGTAAAGTCAGCAACATTCTTTGACATTGAGATTATTTCTTTTCGTTGTGGCTGTACTTTCTCCTCCGCTTTTCGCTCCACCACAAATTTTACAGTGGAAATCGACGGTAATTTCCGTTCTTTATCACCAGGAGATAAATCATCTGGACTTGGTTCTTTCGAGTTGAAAATCGGTAGTTTTGGTGTAAGCGGATCCGCAAACTCATCCAAGAGGAAAGACATTTCCAATCGCCAGTTATAGCTAAAGTGGTAAGTAATATTATTCTTAACGTTGATTTAGAAGACTAATTGTACTCACCGCGCATACACTAAAAACGATGCAACTTTTTTAACCTTTGCCAGCTCGTTATTACAGCCTCCACGCAATAAGCATGTGAAGCCACGAGGATTATTCAATTTTTCAAAAAACATTAACGTTTTATTAATGCCAGTACCATCACTGAAATTTCGAATATAGAAAGCATCACACATGCCGAGCTGTGGCCGGGCTATATTGGACTCTATAGAAGCCACAATGTCACATTGGAGTGTGCGAGATATTCGTTCCATTACAGAAAGCTTCACATCTAAAACCAAGGTAATACCTTGTGAGCGTAGCATATCTTGAGCTATGCCCGCAACATTTTTATGCACCAATACCACATTTGGTTTGAAACTCATAATCCGATCGCAAACACGTCGTAAATACTCTTTTTCTTGTAACAAAACTGTTGCTATACTGACAAACTTTCCTTCAATACGTTCGTAAACAATAGGGCATTGTAAAAGAAGTATGCGTGGATGTTCAACACGTGTAGCCATATCTTTATGAGCAATGTTTTTTGAAAAAACAACCCCACCTACTATTGTACACTCTTGCCGTTTTCCCCCTGGTATTTTTTTTATATTTACATAATTTCTTATGTCCATTAACTCATTGGTGCAATATTCTGGTTTGAAATGATTGGCTGCTCGACAGCATAACGACATGAGTACTTTAGACCAACGCAAATCTAAATGGAATGTGCGTAGCATTTGAGTAAGCAACTGCTCTTCGTAGTCGCAGTAAGATTCCAATAGCTTAGTTGTAGTTGTAGTGGAACACAATGAAGACTCAAATTCCATGTCCCTCATGGAATGAAAACTCAATGAGGCATCTATTGTTTTTGGCGGCTGTGGTTCATCACTGTTATCAATCTGCGGAGTGGTGACCAAAGAAACGTTGGTTGAGTCCTTAAAAAAAGCATTGTTAAAATTATGTCTGTAAATAAAAAGCAATGCAATTAAAAAGTAAAATTATAATTTTATTCAAATTACTTATTCAGCTCAATAAACTTGTAATGCAGATTTTCATCGAAATCAATCAATTCAGAATCTGGGACTATAGGTTGTAGAAAACCAGCAGCTAACATTGCATTTAATATTGCTATAGCTTGTATCTTATTTGAAGATTTTTTATGTAAAATCATATAATCGATTAGATACGTGCCACAGTTCTGTGGTGTCAACTGACGTTGCATTTCTTCGTGTAGTGTTATTAAAGAATTTGATTGCTGAAGTATGTTCTTTCGATCATCAATAGATAAGCAATTACTCATATGAGTAGCAAAACGCTCTTCTTGATATCCAACAGATATCTTCCGAGTTGAAATTGCACGTGTAGACAAAACCTCAATGTTATTAATATCATTTTTATCTTCTAGTTTTTGGGTTAAATCTTGTTGTAAGGCCTGTAAATCTGCATGCAAATCCACTGCTATGTCTGGAGATTTTAAATAGCTAAGTACAATCTTTGAGCAATAGTTGCAAACCTTGAGGTCGCCTAAAAATATTTATTAAAATTGCATCATCCTAATATGTTTAAATATCATATAAACATACCAGCACACTTAATAATTTTTCCAGGCACAACTTGATTGCAGCATCTGGAACAGAATATTTGCCCACAAAGGCGGCAATGATGTTTTCTTCTAAAGGTAGAGAATTTTTGTGTACAATCATAACATTCCTTTGCCTTTGAATCAGGCATCCAAAAACGATGTAACTCAGTATCTTTGTAATTTTGTAGATCCTAATAATAAACATATTAATAACTGTAGTTTAAATAGCTTTTATTCTTCTTAAATATTACACTGTTTTTTGTCGCCATTAAGTTACTCATCCGTTTTAGTACATTGACCATGGTGCGGCCCTCACTGCTTTCGTTTGGTAATCTCGAAACTTGTTCTTCCATTTCGTTTTTAGATTCATCTATTGTAATGATTTTTGTGGTTGAATTACATTTGTCATGATTTTTATGCATATTGACAGTTTTATTTGGTGAATGCACATTAATTGATGAGATATTTATACAGGAATTTGAATTTTCATAAGAAATATTTGCGTTGCCGGTAGCATCTATACTTTCGTCAGCATAAAAAGATGATTTCGAAACTTGGGCCGGTGAGGTGCCATCTGCACTACTATTTGCTACTTCATTAACAGTGTTATAACTTTGATTATATACGTTTTGTATTTTGTTCACAAAGCGACCCAGTATAGATTCGGTCTCTTCATCTTCGAAATCCCGCGCAAATTCGGTAAGCTTTGTAGGTGAGTGGAGATGCTGATTCATTTTGCAGACAGAAATTTTTAAATGTTATTATGTAAAATGATTTATATAGACGAAATGTTTAATTGATCTCCAAGAGAAGATTCGGGTGCCAATGAACTCAGGGCCAAATCACTCCATTTTTGTTCCTATTACAAATATCAAAAATATAAACTGAAATATACTTTTAATTAACAATGGATTAATTTACCTGTTCGCTGAGTGTTAAATGTGAGTCACCACCATCAGCTTCTGGATCTGGCAGTTTATCTGCCGGGACAAGGATCTGATCAAAGGGTAAAACTTCCTCACGCCACTTATTATCGACAATATCCAATAAGCGACCCTCAGCTAGTGGCTGAAATTGAAAGCCAAAACACTACTCTATAAAAGAATTTTTCTCAGCTCTATATAGAGATAAAGTTAGTATTGCACCCGTGAATATATAATACGTGATAGTGCACATTTTTATCATTTTATTGAGCTAGCGAAATAGAAGAATGTAATTAAAAAAGTAGTAGTGAAGTAAATTAACATATTTATACTTAAATTTAAATTTAATTAAAAAATTAAAATTATAATCGAAAGACCACATATGATATAATCTTCTGTTCTTGCAAGTCATAACTTTAATAAAATATCGGTATTTATTTATATTTGCCTTGGATGGTCAGTCCCGTACGCCTTAAGTAAAAACTGAGATATTTTGATAAAAATTGGTACATGTGTACCTCGATACTCATGGGAGGAATCAGACCACTACCATGCTCAAAAAACGCTGTCAATCGAAACAGCGCTTAACCATCATTTATAAAGAGATGTTGAAATAAAGTTGTAAATCAAAAAACGCATAAAATACAATAAATCAGTCACCGTTGCAAATTTGGCGTAATAGGGGTTGCAGGTTGAAGAGTGATTTTAAACCTTGGAAATTATGCGTCGCCTGGTTAAATATTTATAAATCATAAACTATAAGCTGCTATAAGCAGAAATATAAAAAACCTTGCAGGAGTACTTTATTTCGCTAAAATTTATAAAAAACTATGCATCTTCCATAAAACGGTTAAGTTCAAAACGGTAAATGTATAGTTTAGGTTCCCCAATGAAGGAGGTCGCGAAAATTATGTTTTTTTCAAATTGTCTTATTTTGACGCTAAGATTACAAATCCGTGAGCGGAAAGTGAATTTTTTCAATTATTTATGTATATTTTTATATAAAAATATATTTAACACACTTTGCACTTTTCAAGTAACTTAGTTGTTGTTTTTTTTGTTGTAGCGGCAGAATTCTGCACAATTCAAATCACTTAGCTGTAATTACACGTTCAACGAGTTAGACATTTTCTTGCGAAAAAAAATACTGAAGAAATTTAACAGTCCCAATTTCTTTCACGCCGCGAACTGATGTTATCGACGAATAGAGGAGATCGTTCACTTCCTTTTTGCACTGGGGGTCTTTGGCCGTGCTTCAACAAAATAATCCTGGATTGATCAGGGTTATTTTTTTGAAGCGCGGCCGAAGTCCACCAGTGTTGAAAGGAGTTACCAAGCGAAATAAAATGGTGAAGTGCGTAATTTTTTGAAATTTGCATATAAACTCTTTTTTTAGAAAATTAAAAAAAAAAATAATTATTGAAAAATCAACTTTCCGCTCACGGATTTGTAAACTTCGCATCAAAAAAAATTTTTTGGGTCCTCCTTCGTTGGGGGACCTAAACTATACATTTACCCATTATCATATCCTCCCCTTGACGCAATTTGTATATGGTTAGGTTATGTTAGGAGGTCGATTCAAAAAAAAAGGATCCCACTTGGACAGCTTAAGATGCCGGTCCGTTGTGATACCTACAAAACTCCTATAATCTGGATCAAAAGACCCTTACAAGTCGACGAAACGCTTTGTGCTTACTACAAACTTGTTAAGACAGCCAATATCCATTTCGGCTAAGTATTCAGGTCCGCCAAAAGTGTTATTGCCGAGATATTTCAATCTCAGCCTAGCGAAAGCCCGACATTGGTGGAAAAAGTGCCGGGATGATTCCACTTCGCCCTCCTCCATGCAACTTTGGCAACTAGCATCGGGTAGTACTCCAAGCCGTACCGCATGAGTGCCCATTGGACAGTGTCCAGTGAGAACTCCTACCATAGCGGCGAGATGCACTTTGCTCAGGACGAGAAGTCCCCCCGACCTCCTGCGATCCACTCTTGGCCAGAAAGATCTCGCGGTCGCACAGGACTTGGTCGTCGACCAGCGTCTGCTGAGTGCACGCGAGGTCCATTGATCCAAAGCTAGAGCGCAAGACGCTAACGGAGATCTAACCCGATCCCATTCCGATGTGAGCGGGGCAAAGGTGCCCCCCCCTGGCTAGCTCATCGGCTTTACAGTTACCAGCGATTCCGCTGTGACCAGGCACCCAAACGAGCCTGATGTTGAAATAGCCAGACGCTATCTCTAGAGAGGACAGATACTCCTTGACTAGCTTTGATTGCACGGTTCGCGCGCTCAAAGCTAGTATTGCCCCCCTACTATCATCCACTCCGCTCACTTCTACAAACGAGGCTGCACTATGTAGCAGTACTTCTACCGCCACCTTGATGCAGCTACCTCCGCCTGAAAAACACTACAGTGATCTGGTAGCCTGACTCTAAGACTGACGGAGATCTCCTTGCAGAAAACCCCCCCTCCAACCTTACCTCCTAGCCTCGATCTATCCGTGAAAAAGCTCACCGCGTCTCTTCTCCAGCGGCTTCTTCCCATCCACATGTCCCTCGTTGGAATATGAGCGGAGAAGGAGCCGCCTCGAGTGGGCTCAGTGACGCAGTGATCTATATTTTCCGGAATGCAGCTGAAGGAGGAAAGAATTTTGGAGTGTCCTTGTTCGGACCTCTTCATAAGCCCAGCTTCCCTGAGCCTTAGAGCACACTTCGCACCAATGCACCTACCGGCAATGTCCACAGGTGCTATGTTTAAAATAGCATTAAGAGCTATTGTAGGTGTGGTCCGCAGTGCACCGGAGATTCCGATGAGCTCCGCTCTTTGGACCAGCTCAAGCTTTTTAGCCAGTGTAGACCTTTCGAGCGCCCTCCACCAGACGAACACACCATCGTTGGGGGACCTAAACTATACAGTTACCCATTATCATATCCTCCCTTTGACGCAATTTGTATATGGAAAACGGAGTACAATTATACAAGCAATTATTATTTACTTTTCTCTCACCTATTCCATTACATCATCTAACCACAGCACTTTTAAAACTGATTAAGGTACATTTAGCTTACTAGTTACAATTTTTCTCTAAAGTTTTGTTATACAAGGTCATGTTTTCAAATTAAATAACTTATCTTTAAATCCACACACACATTCATTTTACTAAAAAAGACATCATTAACTTAATATTAGCTCTTGAAAGAGCTGTAGCTACATACATATATCGTTTTAATAAATGAATCATGTCGTGTAGTTAGCATAAATTATAAAGCTTGTACCTAATTACAAATATACATATGTGGAGATTTCATATAATTTATTTGCAAAACATTCTTCATTTTATAATTTTGTATATATTTAAGGAAATTGTTTGCATTTTGTGTATTAAACACCTCGGTACAGACCTGACTGTCCATTACTGGACTTCAATATAATTATTTATTGGATTTCACTTGTCACTACCGAAGTTAAGTCACAAATTGTCAAATATAATGTTAAAATAAGGGTAAGGTGAACTCCAATAGTTATGCACAATTTATTGCTATTTTACTCCATCATATTGTTACAAATTATTTTGTGATACTTTATCGAGTTAAACCAGAAATTTAATATTTTGTAAAAATCCCTTTTATTGCGTTAAATCAAATAACGAAAAATATAATTCCAATCAGCTGTTTTCAAAGGTGCCAGACTCATAATCTAAAATACGCTGAAACAAATATATATATTTTCTTTTTCCCCTATGTTGTTCCCAGGAATGTTTAATTTTTGTACTTTATTTAGTAAAAACAACCAACTGCAAAGAGTTGGAAATAGCAATATTAATGGTCCTCAAATTATTTACATTATATCTGATAAACCTATTTGTATTGTTTGAAGTCAAAAGGAAAGCACGGTATGTAGTTTCAGCTTAATGTAATTTTTGGCCACATTGTTCAAACATATGGCATTAGTTTTAGTAATGTCAAAAATTTATACAATTTGGAGAATTATTTTGTCTCATTCTATTATTTGTGCCGCTTGTAAGACCTATTACAATAAAAGTAAACTAAAAATATAATTGATTTTAAAATATATTTTAATTAACATTTAGTCGAAATTGTAAAGGTGAGTGTAAAATAAGAAATATTTTAAAATAGTTATTTATTGACATGTAAAGATAAAATTGCGTAACATCACATTCTAGCAAATTTTTACTTCGAATTGAAGAATGAACCGGCTGATTTAGCGCAAAATAACATTTAAAGTTAGGTACAGTTTTAAACAAACGAAGTGAAATATATAGCCCATTAATTGCATTGCAATACATTGACAAAATTCTTATGATTCTTGGCGAATTAGTACGACCACAATTAGTGATAACATATTGAAGAAAAATGTTGGCACTTACCAGGGGGACGCGTTCGGTTGCTCCAGTTATGAAGCGTGCAGTTTTATGTTATACGAACAGTAGAAAACTCGGAAAAATGGTTAATAATAATCAAATTGTCTACGATGTTCCTAACAAGATATTACATCGTACCAAAGTGATGGCTGCACCTCATATTATACAGCAGCATGAGCACAAATTCAGTGAAGGCAAAGAATACAACGGGTTCAAATGTATTAGAGTGGAATCTGTACCAGATTTTGGTATAATGTCCTATACGTTTCGTCATGTTAGATGTGGTACTGAGCTGTGGTACTTGGATCGCAAGGATTCAAACAATGTATTTTCTGTAAATTTTCGTACAACACCTTTCGATTCAACTGGTTTACCACATATTCTTGAACATAGTGTGTTATGTGGTTCGAAAAAATACCCAGTTCGTGATCCATTTTTTAAAATGCTGAATAGATCAGTTGCTACTTTCATGAACGCTATGACGGGTCCGGATTATACAATGTATCCTTTCTCTACCATGAATGAAATAGACTTTAGAAATTTGCAAAAAATTTATTTGGACGCAGTATTCAGGTGAGCCATTGTGGATTACATACATTAAAAACTTGATAAACGGCTTACTCTAATTTTTAGACCGAATTTGGCGTATTTGGACTTTCTGCAGGAGGGTTGGCGATTAGAACATTCGAATGTGCATGACAAGTCTTCTGAATACGTAATAAAAGGAGTAGTTTATAACGAGATGAAAGGTGCTTTCTCAGAGAATAGTTCAGTATTCTCCCAAAACCTGCTTAATAATTTATTACCAGACAATACATATGGCTTTGTATCGGGAGGTAATCCACTGGAAATACCAAAATTGTCACACAAAAATTTGGTAGATTTCCACTCAAAATATTACCATCCAAGCAATGCTCGTATATACACTTATGGCAATTTTAATTTACTTAAAACCCTTGAATATGTAAGCAGTGAATATTTAAGTGATTGCAATGGTATAGATAACTCCTATAGCCGAATACCAAGCCAAGCACGTTGGGATAAACCGCGTAATGTACACATATCGAGTCGTTTTGATAATATGGGTGCACCATTCGAGAGGCAAAATCAAATAGCCATAGCTTTGCTAATGTCAGACGTAACTGACAATCAAGAAACTTTTGTGCTGCATGTGCTTTCAGAATTGTTGATACGAGGACCGAATTCATCGTTCTACAAAAGTCTTATTGAACCAAACTTCTCTGGCGGTTATAATCAGGCAACTGGTTATGATCCACAAATAAAAGACACTTTCTTCTGCGTGGGTTTACAAGATTTGCGTGTTGAAGATTTCGGCAGCGTACAGGATATCTTTGACAAAACCATAAAAAAAGTAATTGCTGAAGGATTTGATCGTAGCCACATAGAAAGTGTTCTTCACAATATTGAGTTGCTACTGAAACACCAAAGTCCGCAATTCGGTATGGGCTTGCTATTTAACTCTACACCATTGTGGAATCACGATGGTGACGTTGTTTCCAGTTTGCGAGTAACGAATATGATAGCCAATTTTCGTCATAATTTGTGTAAAGATCCAAAATATTTGCAACATAAAGTAGAACAATACTTTGCAACCAATACACATCGTCTTACATTAACTATGTCGCCAGACGATCACTATGAAGACAATTTTAGAACAGCTGAACTAGATCTTTTAAAACAAAAAATCATGTCACTTGATGATATAAAGCGTGAAGAAATTTTTAAAAGTGGCATTAAATTGGAACAAGCTCAAAAGACCCCACCTAATTTGGATTTATTGCCATGCTTAAACCTGGCCGACGTTCAAGAAATGCCGAAAATGCCAGCTATTAATGTTGTGCGTATTGGTAATGTTTCGACTCAAATATGTCAAGTTCATACAAACGATGTTTCATATTTAAAATTGCATTTTAATGGTAATAACCTAAATCATGACGAAGTTATGTTATTGCCACTTTTCTGCAATGTTATAAACGACATGGGGACCAGCAATTATAATTTTAGAGAATTTGATAAGCTGGTTTTATCGAAAACTGCTGGTATTGATTTTAAATTACATTTCGCAGAAAATATTTACGATAGCAAATCATACTATTTGGGTGTTTATATGACAACACATGCATTGGATAAGAATGCAAACGACATGTTTTTATTGTGCACAGAATTATTAACGAAATTTAAATTAGAGGACATTGATCGTTTAAGTATGTTAATTGATAACTATGTGTCCAATATCTCGGTGGGAATCGCTAGTTCAGGCCATTTATATGCAATGCAGAGCTGTGCGGGGTTAGTAACAAATGCTGCGAAATTAAAATCTCTTCTTTCAGGTGTAGAACACATTGAATTCATGAAAAATTATGTAAAAGGAAACAAAATTGAAGATATTAGAGAAAAACTTTATAGTTTGGGCCAAAAACTTTTCTTGAAAAACAATATGCGTTGTGCTTTGAATACATCTGAAGACTTCTATTCAAAACTCATCAAGTACTATGAACAATTTCTGGATAGTATGCCAATCGGTTCAGAAGCAAATAGAACCTGTGATCATATTATCAATATGCTCGAGCCCAGTCAACAGCATTTTGTTATGAACATCCCGGTGAACTATTGCGCCAAGGCATTCTTCACCGTGCCGTATACTCATCGGGATCATCCCACACTTCGTGTGCTAGCCAAATTAATTTCCGCTAAATATTTGTTGCCAGTAGTGCGAGAACAAAATGGAGCATATGGTGCGGGTGCGAAAATCGGATCAGACGGCATTTTTTGTTTTTTCAGCTACCGGGATCCAAATTCAACCAAAACATTAAAAGCATTTAATAATACTTACCAATGGTTGGAGCAAAACAATTTAGAGTTAACGGAGCAAGCTTTATTCGAGGCGAAACTAGGTGTACTGCAGCAATTGGATGCACCTATTGCACCAGGGAATGTTGGTATTGATTTTTTTCTGTATGGCGTTTCCCAAGAAATGTTTGCTAAATATCGAGCTCGCATGCTCTCGACATCCTTAGATGAGCTTAAAACTGTCGTTAAGCGTTATTTTAAATATGAACCTGCACATTTCGGTAATTGTCTGCTTGGGCCTGAAAATAAGAATTTGGAGGAGGAGACGAACTTTAAGTGGAAAGTTATTTCCTAAACAAACATTAATAATTAACTATATCTACATTTGAATTAAAGCGCATATGTGTAAAATAATCCACGATATAAGTAATTGTATTAAATTGAAATAAGCGTCTCTTTAATTTTGTAACCTCCTTTTTTGTTGCCGCTATATACTTAATCATTTGAATAATGTTTGATTTTAAGTTTGGTTTGGACGATGTGTGTATGTGTATGGTGATAAAATATATATAACACTTGCTTTTAACGGCAAAAGAAGTTTGAAAATACAATTATTTCCATAAACCCGAACTAAGGTTTGATAGTTTGTTGTATGTGTACTAAAGAAGTTAATAAAAAAATTAAAAATAAAATAATATTAAAAAACTAAAGGAATGAGAATTTAAATCATATTGTCATTTATTATAAGTCAGTGAAAACATTATTCAATTATAAAATAATTAAATACTGAATTGTTCCTAATGTTTTTCAAATCTCTGTTGTTTTAATAAATTTGTTTTTATTGAGCTAACTTGCTATTTTTTTACATGGTGAAACGGTATTTCTGGGAGTGTTTATAGATAAAGACTCATTGACTTATGGAGTTTTGTTTTGCAATAGATGGGAGTTTAACTCAAAAGTGATCATCCGTGGGAAGATAGTTTGAACGTAATTAAACTAATTTGGAATAGAAATAGTACACTTTATTGTGCGGACCGATTGTATTTGTGTCCACTTATTTATATATAAGTTGTCTGATGCAAAAATTTGTGTAATTCGCCAAGGTACGAACATTTGACGGACTGGAATGTTCAGTACAATATTAAAATGAGCGTAATAAAAAAATGTTACCTTCTTGAACCGGATATTTTTCGGATGATTCAATATAATAGAAATATTATATGGTTAGAAAATTTTTATTCATACTTAATATCAGCACTTAGTAATATATTAATCAACACCATAAATTCAGTATATTTGTTTCAGTTAATTATGGCTCTGCCTGAAGGATTTCACTCTTCTCTGGACTATTTTAGAGCAACCTTAGCTTTTCTCCGTGATCATTCTTGGATATATATCACTCCAAACACTCGATTCATAAAAGCCGGATTGTTGGAAAAGATTCCATCAGATTATATCAACTATTTTTTGCACTTGAAAAACTCTGAATTAAATATATTCCCATTTTTGCATGACAATGAGGACTTTCACAATGGTATTGATTCCATTGCTTTGCAAACATTTCGCTCAGTACTACGCGGCCTTATACCAAAAGAAGTACACGATTCGAAAAGTACACCAAATCAACTAGAATTGCTTCCAAAATGCCGACTTAGGAAGATGAGTGTAAAAAAACAACACGAAATTGTGCAATTAACTAAAGTTATAAAGACTCAATGTAATGATATACACTTACTTATTGACTTTGGAGCTGGTTTGGGTTACCTTAGTGAGACGTTGTGCAGCATTAACAAAAGTTGGCGTATTCTGGGCCTAGAAGCAGATGTGTTTCGAGTAATGGGTGCACGTAAACGTCTGAGACAACAGATATCTGAAATGAGTGAACGTGTCACTTATGTTCAGCAATTTATTGAACCGAATGCAGGCAATGCTATTAAATATCATATTTCAAGAAGTGGATTGACAGGTCTGACTAAATGGGCTATTATAGGCTTACATGCTTGTGCTGATTTATCGGTTACATCTATAAAGTTATTTTTTGAAATGGCAGAAGTTAAACGTTTGGTTATCATGCCATGTTGTTATCACAAGCTGAGCCAAACTAGTAATGGTCACTTTTTAAATTTTCCGTTAAGTACTACGTTAAAGTCTGCGGTCACTGAAGCGGATACAAATGTGTTGAGCTACTTTAATCGTCCTTTTTTGCGTCTGGCTTGTCAAGAGACCAGCGCTCGTTGGCGGCATTGTTCAGAGGAGGAGCACGTGGCACACGGAGAGCAGATGTTCTGGCGTGCCGTAGCCGATGCCATCATTGACGATGAAACGGAAGTAATCGCAACTATACCGAAAAGCCAACGACCTAATAATGATTGGAGTGAAATTAAAAGTTTTTCAACTTTTCGACAGATGTATAAAGTGAGATCAAAGAGAGCGGATGCAGAGTTTTTAGTGGCAGACATGTGGAATAATGAGCACAGAGATAAATTTAAAAAAGTCGTTGAAAAATATGCCGAGGTTGGCCCCAAGTTGGCAGAAGCATTGACTTGTTTGCAAACAACAATACAGGTCAGTGACACCATTATTCAATTATATCTATGCTATCCTTGTATGATATAATTTTAAATTCGATTACCGCTAACATCATAACTTAAGGAGTAAGTTTAATAACATAACACAGTGCAACTAATCCCACTGATTGTATTGATTTATCCTTTAACAAATATAAGTTACTAGAAAAACCAGGGAGAGCCAGTGAGACAATTCTAAATGTTTGTCAAGAATTTAAACATTCAGCAAAAACTCTAAAAATGTTCCACTTGTAGTTCCAACATCAATTTCAATGTTCCAAAGACTTTCACTCCCATAACCGCATAAGGATGAACTAATATCCAAAAACATTAACTTCTTACAACATATTCCAACAATTGTAAATCCAAACTTAAATGCTCAATATAAGTAGATTCTCATCCACCACCTTTAAGTCACTATTGTTTTTGAAATAATGCAATACTTAATTTAATTGTTCATTGTATTGTATTGGCCATCCATTTTATTATTGGCGATGTAATAAAATTATGTACTTAGTCTTGTCATAAATTCTGTTGCAAAGTTTACAACACATACAGTGAGGACCAATTCGCAGAAAAAAGTGGCGTTATTTTTTATTATAATTTAGATATACATGTAAAAAAATTGTTAAAGAAGTTTTCAACAACCAACAACTTTCAAAGACGCAAGAATGTTATTTCAAGAAAGCTTAATCACCTCTCACGATGTCATACTTGTAGACGTATTTTGAAACATTGCAATAGTTTCCGGAACAACAACTGATTTTGGACTACTTGCACAAGAATCGTCTTGGAGATATACGACCTCGAATGAATTCACCATACCATACATAAACACTAGTTCTTGATGGACTTCATCGCCAAAAATTGAATTAAGTTTATCTATGCACTGTTGCTTAGTTATTCCACTTCGAAAGTTGTAAAAAACAATCACACAAAAATGTTCGGGATTTAATTCCATTTTTTGGCCGACATGAATATTTTAAGTTACTGTAAACAACACAATTAGCACTCGTATGTTAAAACGTTCTGAGTAAGTATAACATCAAAAATGTCATACTCTACGATAAAGTTGTAAGGCATTCAATTAAGCAACACTCTCTTTGATGGAGAACATTAGATCTTCCATTCGTATTCTGCCCTCGTACAGAAGGTAAAAACCACCAGCAGTGGCTTAAAATCAATATTTCTGGTTTCATAGCTGCAGGTGAATGGCCGTCTGGAAGTCGAGATTTGAATTCATTGGACTACAGTTTATAGTCAGAGTTAGAGAACATGGCCTGTCAAATACCCCACAGAAATTTGGAAAGTCTCAAAAAATCTTTTGATCTAGCAATGTCTTCAATACCAATAGAAACTGTGCGTTTTGCAATTGATCAATGGCCGAATCGTTTGAGGGCTTGTGTGAAAGAAAAAGATGACCATTTCGAATAAAATGTTATACATCGCTCATGCATTACCAAGTTTATCAAAAAATGTATTATAGTTTCATTGTTATAACGACCTGAACTTGTAACAGAACTTATGGCAGGACTAAATATAATTTATGTAATACTTGTGTATAAGAACTAGCACTATTCATATTTCAAACCTCTTCCTAATTCGATTTTCATAGAAATTTAAACTACATATAGTGTTAGAAGACGGTAGGGACAAATATATAATGCAGAAAATAATTTTACTGGGCATCTTTGAGAATAGAAAAAGAAGTAAGAACTTCGAAGTGATAAAAGGAAATGTTCCTCTCATGCTATGCCAAATTCCAGTTATATAACTGAATTTGTGATGAAGTTATAGCCCACTATATTCAGTTTTGTAGTGTAGTTTTTCAGAGTGCAATAAATCATGAATACCGAGTTTCAAAGTATAGTGAAAACCAGGGTTAGTATTTGCACACTCATGAGCAGCACATCAATGCCCATTTTGCTCATACATACGTGTGTGCTTTAAAATATTTGCTCATGTCTGAAGCGAATATGTATTGTGCACGCTGCGTTGATACTTCGACAGACAGTATCTTATAAAAGTATTTTATAACTTTTATGAGATCAGATTAAGTTGATTTATATTTGTATATACACGTTTCGAACGCAATAGAATGCAATTAGAAAGTGCTTTTGTAAAATAAATTAGAATTAAAGTATTTATTCCTCGAATATTAACCGTTATACGTCTTCTATAATAATAACTCTTTTATAACTTAAAAGAGTACCCGGTCTCTAGATTATGGAAAGACAGTTTTGACAGATAAATCTCACATTAAATATTGCATAATAAATATCTTTACTAGGAATTAATATTGAAACATATGTATGTAGAATCTACATTCTACATTATAGATGAGTATCAAAGATCCTTTCCTCCACTCACAAGAGGGGAAATGAAATTGTTTTCTATATTCGAGGAACTTAGGTGAATGTTAAAATTTACGTTAGAGTTAAAGGTAACTAAACTAATTAAAAAATCATTTATTTGTTTATTATGCTTCTACATACATTTTTCTATACTTGTCTAATTACAAATATCTACATATATAAAATTATCTGAACAAACGAATAATGCATTTATTTTTTTCCTAGAAACTTTGCGAGAATATTGTTCTTTATGATCGAGTATGTTATATGAACGAATACGCAGAGACACAGACAAATTTAAAAATAATGGTAAAATATCATAAAATTCTTGATGAGAAGTTATCACCTCGTTGCTTTGCCTTAATCGCCGAAAAATTTTAGCATAAATGCTGTTGAAGTTTAACTTTAGTTTTTATTTCAACAGCATTAAGAATAAAGTGTCTGTAATGTAAATGTGCAAATATGTTTGAAGAGTGTGATAATCGTCTTCTTCCGCTTCCAGCAGTATCTATAAATAGGCACTTAATACAATTAACCTAAGGGTAAAAGCTTATAAAATATGTCGACTTATTTACACGTAAGAGTATGAACGCTTCTTTATATAAAACAAGAACCACTTTCATTTAAAAACATTTATACTCCGATTTAACAAATAATTGATATCACAAGAAGAGACAAAGTTCATTACCCAATACAATATATTTAATAATACACAGTTTAATGAACAAATATATTTAAATAACACATTCTTACATAAAAATATGCACACATCTAAATAAGTATACAGGATATCATAATATTCTTATAAGATTAGGATGTCAAAGTTTTTTTTGGCATTAACCATATGTATAAATAACTACCTATATATGCCATAAATTGATACCTTTAACCTTTACCTTTTACCACGAAATTTCTAAACTTTGGTATAAATTAATTATGTAATTATGTTTAGCTACAATGAAGGAAATTTTAAATTCGGCTGAAATAAAATTGCATACATACAAAGAGGCATATATATACCTTCGTTGTGTTTAAGTATTATATATATATGTATGTATATACATACATATATGCTTTCATATAAAGTAATAAATAAGATTAACTGCCTTGGATATTTATTTCAAACTGTTGGTATTATTTATTAACACAATGTACTTGTATACACAAGGTGAGTTCAAAAACTTATTCCAAGAGCTAAATACCTATATTCAAGAAATTTAAATTTTTATATTTGTACTCCGTCACGATTATATGTTCACAATTTCAATCATAAAGAATTCTATGTTGAGACAATAAGGTCAGAGGAAATCATTTGACGAAATTTAATTAATTTTTCTTTTAATGTTCTGAAACATTTCAAATCTTGACAGAAATTTATGTTGACTTTATGCTAAGTAATAAAATGAGGTTAATGACATGTGCAAAGTTAAGTAAATTTTTCGCCTTTACAGCGAAAAGGAGACTTATTTGTAGCGCTGCCACAAACAGACATCCTCTTAAATACCATCAGAGTTGGATATTGTGCTCCCTCTTTAGAATAAGAAACAAGAAAAAACGAAGCTAGAATACCTTTCCCAAATAAAAAAGTTTTCTGACAAGAACTTGATTTTGATCGGTCGATTTGTATGGTATTGGTATTGTATGTCAAATCAAAAAGTTTATCTTACAGGAACTTGATTTTGATCATTCAGTTGGCCTAACATTTTTAGTGAAATCCCTCATTTCACCGTCATCATCATTTTATGATTATTTTACAATATATAAATCAAACACCAATGAATATGTTATATCGGAATAAAACTTTGCACAAGAAGGGCACCTGTATACTAAAAATGGTAGAAATTGGGTTATAACTTTTTAAGAACCCTAGATACCGAAAATGTCGTAAAGAAATTCAAAGGACAACTTTTTCTGATAATAATGTCCTCTCGTGCCAAATATTGATGAAATTTGTTCAGTAGTTCTCGTAATTCCCAATCATCTAATACAAGGATTATCGAACTTACCGTTGGCTTTATACCGTATAAATCGGTCAATATACACGTATAAGACATCTTTACAAAATTAAGTGAACTTATTTACTTAGATATTCTATACACAATAGTTTGCACATTGCGAGAACATACACAAAGTTACACCGGAGCTTAGTCCCACCTAACTTGTAAACTTCAACTGGGTTTGTTGTAACAATTATTGTTATTGTAAATATTGTTATTCTTGTAGTGCTTTATGTTACTATCATCACCGGTAATGCTTGTAATAAAAACAAAATAGTTGCTCATAGAACATTAATTCTTTATATAATTATGTATATGCTTTATTAAATATTTGTAGTATTAGATAACATACATATATTGTTCGCACAAAGATATTTATTTTTGTATAGTCGTAAAAATAATAATGATTACTTTTGCACAAATAGAAACTAAAATCACAATTATAATACTAGTTACTTAAAAGATAAACAGTACTTTTATCACAATTAAATTGAATCCGTAAAATGGCTATTATTTTGTCCAGGAAAATATGTTCGAGGAAAATATCTAATACATTTCTATTAAGTTCATATGGTATGTAGGTACATAGGACATATCGTACACTTCTACATAGATGTCACTGTAATTAGATAAATGTATGCTCCGTTTATTTATTTTAGATATTTAGATAGATTAATAATTATCGACTATTTTGTATGTTTTTACAATATTATTTACAGTTATCCTATATATTTATAATTTTTGGTTTTGAAAAAAATATATATATATACATATATTTAAGACATATCGTTCGCAGTTTGGCTAAGCTCGTGATTTCGTGACAATTAAAATTTATCCAGCCCTTTTTCAAAATTTTAATTTCACATTTTATGTAAACCAGTGCCAATTTCATAACAATTTTTTTTTTTTGCTTAATTATTACATAAAAAATCTGTGCTGAAAAGACAAATATTAATTCAGTAAATGTAAATATAGGTGAGTACGTAATTTATTAAGGGTAAAATAATTTCGCTTTGTTTTGTCTACACTCGAATATACATACATACATATGTCTGGTGTATCTAGAAAATATTGTTAAGTTCTAAATTGAAATAATCAGAATATTTCTTTATAATCTTTGAAATCAACTTAGGGCGATTTTACTTTCCGATACAGATACGCATGTACATAAGTTCAGATTTAATAAGTGAATTCTTTAACAAATGTTCACATCACTTTATACTCATATTTTTTAATAACAGCGCATTCTGTTGTAATCAAATTAATTAAAACAGCGTTCTTCAATAGTTTTATGATTAGGTATTTAAAATGTCGACAAATTATCCTTTATCATTGGAGGACTCATTTGTTGTTGGCCATTGGATGGTGACGTTTCTTTAAAAAAGTTTTAATTGTACTTAACTTTTCTTCAAGTTAAAACGAAGAGTTATGAAGTAGTCAATGAAGAAAACGCGAATTTGTGAGAATTAGAGTTAACGCGAGAGCACTTCATATTAATTTTCCAGATTTGGTACAGCCGTAAAATATTTATAGTAATAAATTTTTGCTACTAGCGATATTATTATGAGTGAACAAAACATAATATTCCTGTAAACTCACAACTGCTTAATACTTTTAATAATGCTCATATATCATTTACTTTCTCTCCTCGACGCTGTGAGCAATCGTCAACTGATTGATAATGTTATTGATCTCATCGCTACAATAAAAAATAAAAAAGTCGTAGTTATATTTTACAGATATATAAATGTACATATGTAAGATTGTAAAATAAAGAAATTTAATACAATAGTCCAGTGCTTAAGGACTGATTGATTCACTTACATATTGCGACAGCGAAAGAAGTTCCTCAAGCCAGTATATACGCAAGACATCATTAAAGGTGTTTGTATTTGTTCTTGTTGTTGCTTTTCCAGCATATTATTACTTTCACCGTATGGCAATTTATTAACTCCATTATGTTGTAATGATAAACCATTAATAGCGTTAATAGCATCGTTGTTGGCAAGTTGATTTTCTTGCTCATATGGCGAATAGAATTCTGCAGCGGAATTTTCTTCGGAGCGCTTTCCATACCGTGAACCCAAAAAGAAGCGATCGTTACGAGGTACCACACTTAGACGGCGTGTCTTCGAAGAGCTTAGTGCAGCACCGCCACTGGATCGGCCATATCGACTGCCAACAAAGAAGGAGGGTCGTTTGTGTAATGTGAGGGGTTCTGTTGAAGAATAAATGATGTTAGTTCGTAAAAAATATAACAAAGTTTAGAATAATAAATTTTAAAATAATGTTTTTAAATTATTAAAAAAAAATCACCTTCTAAACTTGATTATACAAAAATCGACTAACTTTTATATAAAAATAATGTTTAACTCATTCTTGTACTTGTATAAAAGTATGTTTTAATAGTAATAAAAGTATTTAATTTGAAAATAATCACTGAACTTTAATATTTTTCATAAGTGGAACATTTTGAGTATACGCACCAAAATCGTTCTTGTATACCGCGCCATTCGTGAATTGTTCTTCTTTTTCATTAACTACTCCAATTACTGGCTCTATTAAAAAATGTGTCAGCACTGAGAATGTCGCCAAATAGAATAATCCTTTACAGAAGACTGCTGATTGAAACATATTTGTGGGAAATGTTGAAAGGGTGAGTAAGTACTATAAAGGTGTTTCAAAGCCAGTTATAGATTATTTTATTTCCCAAGTTTATATACTACGCGGATGTTTATGCACTACAACAGAAGAGAACGATATTTCAGTGTGTGTAAATGAAATTAAATAACAATAAAGATATACGACTGATTAACAAGATATAGCCTTAGGTAGATAATATTCAAATGACCTTTATAGGCGTGCAACGTATTTAATATCGATCATTATATATGATTTGATTTAAGGATTAATTATACCCAGAACAGGGTATATTAAGTTTGCCACGAAGTTTGTAACACCCAGAAGGAAACGTCGGAGACCCTATAAAATATATACATAATTGATCACCATGATGAGCTGAGTTGATTTAGCCATGTCCATATGTCTGACTATCTGTCCGTCTTTCTGTATATACACAAACTAGCCCCTCAGTTTTTAAGCTATCGTTCTGAAATTTTGTACCTGTCCTTTCCTTTCTAAGAAGCTAATCATTTGTCGGAACGGCCGATATCGGACCATTATAGCTTATAGTTGCCATACAAACTGAACGATTAGAACCAAGTGCTTGTATGGAACCGAAGTTAACGTTTTCTCTTGTTTTTAAATTGAATTAATAGCATGCATGAAAAACCGTTTTCCTTTTAAGGCGTCAGCAAATTTTATAATAAAATAGGTGATGAATTCAGCAATACTAGATATTGGAATACAATGAAGTAGAAGGACGTTTATTATATGTATAACCGATGTAAGCGGTATATCGGGACCATAGCAAGGTCTGGAAATTCAATATCCAATCATTATGTTAGGTGTATAGTCAACCAAAATAGTTTCATTTATATACATATCTTACACAATTGGCTGATATTTGCGGTATAACGTTAGCCATAAACTAAGTCATATACGTTATCTAATAGGAAAAAGCTAAGGAAAAATGCTTTCACTAAGTCTTGTTCATTTATCTTTAGAAGTTTTAAACAATTCCAAACTAATGTACGGCCCATCCTACCGTGATCCTTTGTAACAAATTCGTTTCGTCGATTAATTTGTGAGATAGTTAATATCGCTTTTTAGTTTTACACATAAGAATATGACATAGGTAGGCCAAACATAACATGTACCAAATTTCATTAAGTCTATCTGCTATACCATTTAACTCATAGCTTGACAAAACGTTAGAACAAATTGTGTTTTCAGGGTGTGACACCGCTCATCCAAAAATGGACAAAATCCCCTATATACCGAATATGAGGACCTCAATATGAAAAATATCTTGACTGAACGTTTAATCTCTGCAGTTGTACTGTAGTTTAGTGAGGTAAATGGACGAAATTGGTCGATAAATTACCCCAGCAGCCATATACTACATTCGTTATTTCAGTATAAGGTTGGCTATACCGAACGTCTTACCATGTCATCTTGGACGAGATAATGTGGTTTCGTGCTTGATTAATGAAATCGATTCATATGTTCCCTTACCGATTCGATTCATACCTACCCTTAAATGGCGAGCGTATATAATGTTCGGTTGCACCCGAGCATTCCCCTTCCTAACTTCTTATATTTTTGTGAATTTTTAATAGTGCCGCTTCACTAGGCGGTCTGTGCTACTTCATGTAAATTTTTAAGCTTTTAAAGTATTATATACATATATCTAGCTACTATATTCTCATAGAATACATGTACATATACTTGTACATATGTATATATCCCATAGTATATACTCGTATGTACGTAAGAGTGTACTACTCCTACAATAATATTATGTTTACACTTTAACGTTTTTGAAATTTTAAGGGGTTTTTGAGATTGAAAGAAAATATTTATGGTTCATACATTGTATGTTGTATGTATATGTACAGTCGCTTATAAAAAATCATGCGTACATATATGTATTTGCATTTACTTTTAAATTGATAATTGATAAGTACTGAAATAAGTATGATTAGTAGCCTCGAGTGTGCGAAGAAATATATATATGTACATATATCTAATTCAAACCATGTTCTTCAGTAAAGAAGTATAGTTTCCTTCATGCAAAAGGTTGATATCTTAATGGAACTTGTTATGCAATAAAACACAAATCAGTCAATGTCACGAGCACAAAAAGGATTAATGTACATACCTACCTATGTCTATATTTCGAAAACTACTAGAGTTACTCTGCAAAAGTGGTGGAAACACCGCGTTTTATCCACTATAATACGTGCAAGTGTAATAATAAATGGTCTTCAAAACTTCTATACCACATAAAGATTTCTCTTATCCGGGCGAACGAATGGGTTCCATACAAATATGTACATTTGTATATCCTTTCTAATATAACATTGTTGATACTAAAGAACTGTTGTATCAATTTAAAATAATTGACATGTTGGAATTTTGGCATTTCAGTCATATTCTTTTAAGCAAGATGATAATTTCGCCTGCACTGCTATTTTAAATCGCAGCAAAGTGCAACTTCATAGCACAAAAAAATAAAGGAACTCTATGAATGTGAAAGCTGTAACAAAAATAAATGTAAACACATAGTGGTAATGTTATATTTAAGCCTATGTTCTGGCATAGAAACAATTAAACGACAATCATTTTTTAAGTGTAACATTTTTTTTTTTCACGAACCAGTGCTTTTATTTCGATGGGCAAGAATTATGAAATTAAAAAAAATAACTAAAAAAACAATGAATAAAGACTCCGAATTACGATATTAATTCATAATTCAATACCAGCCAATAAATTCCCAGTGTCTGCTTCTAAAAAATAAATTAAAAAGTACTAAATGAAAATTGTATGTGCGACAGTAAAATTCATAACATGCATACATATTAATATAACTTAAATCATATAAATTAATCAGAGATATTGAAGAATTTAAACTAGTTACTTTCATAGCTTACTTAGAGTATATTATATTCTATTTTACAAACATATATATGTATTTAGATACATAAGTATACTAATTATTAAATAATCTTTTAATATTACTTTACCACGTAACTTGGCCGCACATGTTGCAAATGTCCATTAGCAGCAACTGTATCGACCTACCTGCGTTACATTGGTAACATCACAAAAACTGTGCAATGAGAATATACCACATACTTACAATGTTTTAAACACTTTCTTCCTCTTTCATATTTTAAAGCACATAATACTCATACACCTACATAGCTGTGCCATAAGTACGATGTTCACGTCGGTGAGTGGAAATTGATCATAAAGTGAACAAGATTCCGCAGGTATCTGTTGTAATATATGTATGCATGTGCAATTTTTCTGTTGAACACCGGTAAAAAACGTACAAAAGCCAGCAGTGTTGTCATTATTGTAGCAATTATGGTTGCGGTAATTTAATTACCACCAAAGTGCAGTGCAATCAAACCACAAACAAAAAAGTCCATTAGGATGCTGAAGAAGTGAATATTCTGACATTATGCTTATTGTTGTGGTGAGTAAGTTCTGACGTACCTACACCTGCAAATATACATGCCTGTGTTTTCAAAAAGCCAGCGGAAGTTAACTAAGTGTGTGTAAACAAATAAGGATGGTTATGTTTGGGCCAATGCCTTAGTTAATTCTAGAAGCTATATGAAAATGCTTTTGTAAAATTTAGACTATCTCAAATTAAATATAAATAAAAGGTTTTTGTAAAATTTAGACTATCTCAAATTAACAACTTGTATT